AATCACTGGAATATGCTGATGTATTTGCATCCAGATCTGTCTTGTTAAATAATATTGTTGTTTGTAAAAAAACAACACTAACTTTTGGCTATATAACCCTCACAGAATTAAAACAGGCTTTGGAAAAAGCATTTATACGATGATTCTGACAACCATGAAATCTAGATAATTAAGCCATATAGAGTTCAGAAGTGAGCATGCTATGGTACATCGCCCCCTCCCTGCTTTTTAGCTTGAGGTTTTCTCTTGGTTTTCTCAGAAAAATGAGAGGTGAGGTGGATTCTTCAAATTTGATTTTCATGGTCCACTGACATACAGCCATGTAAAGCAATCATGCATGCACCCTCACACGCACCACTTCATTGAGATTAGCATATTACCAGCAGGGAGATGACAGCACTGGGAGTCAGTGCTAGTGTCTCTCTTTGCTCTTGATTGGCTGATATCTGGAATCCCTAAAGGCAAGAGGAGTAGTAGGAGCTGGGTTTACATTCAGAAAGTGTCTTTGATGCTCAGCAGCCTATCACCACTCTTTTCTTTGACAAGCGTATTCATGAAACATGTATGCTAAATATAAAGATTACTTAAAACTCAGAAATAATGGGCAGCTTGGATACAAAAAAATTGTAAAAGACTAAAATAGAACCTGTGCTGATGTAGCATAAGTCATAACTGGGCCTCAAGCCTATCGTTTTGCAATCCTTCAGCATAAACATACCCTGAATAATCCAAGAATTATAGCTACACAAAAGATTTCAACACATAATGAATATCTTAGTGTGATACAAGTAAATCTGATGGTTTTGGGTCCAGTGCCAGAAATTCCAAATATTTTGTTCACATCAAAATACAATTGCAATATTTGCAGTAAACACCTTCTCTTTTATGCACGCCCATCTACTACATGGTATTAAAGTAACTTACGATAATCAAACTACCCAATTATAGTATGCTACATAATGATCCCAGTATTCTTTGACACATATACATGCATAAGTTTCTTATCCACTTCTTACATATCATTGTGATTACACAGACTTAAAGGTCCATTGATGTCTGCAGCAGAGCCCCCAAACAAAGGCAGCAGCAGCAGAGAGGATGGAGTGGTCAGTGGTCCGTACAGTAGGGTGTGATTTAACACGTGGAGAACAGTCTCATTACAGGCTGCGTCTGAGGAGCACAGGGTCAGTCCTGATCCAAAGCCACTCTGACAAGTGCAAATGGGATTGTGCTGTCTCTCTCAACACCCTCCACACGCCCAACCCCAAAACACACACGGACCCATGCAGCCCTTCTCCTCCGCCTCCTCCTCCTCCACTCTCCCACAGCCTTCACTTTGTATATGCATTAATGCAAACAAACACTCTGACACTTCAGCATGACTGCAGACCCAGAAGCTGCTGTGCTTCAATACACATCTTTTACCTTTACTAAATATCTACTAAATATTACACCATTTGTAAAGGCCATTAACCTCTGGAACCTATTTTAAAATCTTGACCAGACCTGGTACTCATCATTCACCCCAGAAGGTTATACCATTCGTTGACATAAATATGCAATTTTCTGAAATTATACACATAAATCTCGCTATGCACATGGGACCAGTGTGTAGGACAAGGTGAGCCACACTTGTGAGCCCAGGCATCTTGATAAATCACTGTAGCAGACCCCAGTCTCCAGAAGCATTATTGTTCACTAGATGTTCTGAGTGACCTACACACACAGCATCGTAACAAGCACCCTTCACACATGTGTCTGTACTACATCTTAAAGACAGTGTCCTCCTAGTCTAACCTGGAAACTTGGAGATACTGAATGATAAGATTTCTGTAGTAGAACCATGAATGCACAAACTTATTTTAAATGTAAACTACATTTGACTAGAGGCTTTCAGTATTTCAAGTATAAACAGCCATTCATGTAAAAGGTAAACCTCAAAATGACCATGTTTCCTCTCACCTTAAATATGCCCAAGTGAGCAGCAAATAAGCACATGACAAAAAAGTGTTCTTAGAAATGAAAATAAAAATCATCAAATATGCAGCTCCACAATGCCACTGCTGCCGTAGACACAGGCGTTCTCTGCTCTGTTCCCACTGCATGTTTTATTCAAGACTGATTCTAAAAGCTGAAACAGAACAATTTCCCTCCTCACTCCTCACATTTCTGATTTTCTGGTGAATAATTCAGGAATAAAAAATAAAGTTTATTCTGAAAACAAGCAGAAAAATAAACTATAGATTTCTCATTTCAAACTTAACGCTAGATTTCAAGTGGCAGATCTGTCTAATTTTCTCCATGATTAAACAATTTGTGGAGTGAGGATTGAGGATCTGAAGTAAGTATAGGCTGGCACAGTTATCATGAGTGTGGTAATGTCTCTACAAACATAGTAAATCCATGCAGCCCACTGTCCAGGCAGAAAATCTGGTTCCGTTTTACAATGAATTGCAATGTAAACTTTGAGTCAAACTTTGCAATCTTTTTAATGACAGAGTTCTGAATTCTTAGGGGAGAAAAAACTTCAGGTAAGTAGATTAGGGACCTGCGCTATCACCACATCTGCTCCTGTTTTACTTTTCTGCACAGAGGAATGCTTTTGGCTTATCCCTGATTGACACTTGTACTATTGCGTTTACAGGAGGCCATTGTTCTACCGTTCTTCCAAAGTCATGTGCGGCGCTCCGACCTCAACCTGCAGAGTTACACGTGTGGGAGGAGTGGTACTTACAGGCGTTCAGTGTTGCGAGGAATATTCCGCGGCATGGTTTTCAGTCCGAGGCCGTGACAGTCCACTGTGGTCCCGCTGCAGGTACAGAGGGCTGGACAGGCGTTTGCTTTGTCCACGAGAAGCACAGGGAGAAGCAGAAGGCAGAGGCACTTCCAGAGGGGAGCGCCTAGTACCCCTGTCCCATAACCTTTCACCGGCATGGTCACCTCAAGCACTTCTTCTCTCTGGGTAAATCCTCTTTATTCTGTGTCCAAACTGACTCAAAGCTTTCCGGGCAAATCCTTTTTTATCTTCCCCCAGTTGTGGCGGTATCCACTACTATTGACCAACGTGGTTTCTTTGTCTTTTGCGCTCAAACTCCTCTCCTGTCTCTTGTCTTGGCAGAGTTGCAGTGGTGTGGCGTGTGCACCTCCCTACCCCGGCGCTCTGCTCTGCGCGTATGAGGAGAGAGGGAATAGGGCAGGAGAAGCAAGAAGGAGGAAGAAAAAAGCTCTTTCTCTCTCTCTCTCTCTCTCTCAAACACACACACATACACCAGTCATCCATCACAAGGATCTACAAATAGCAAGGCCCCCCCACTGGCCCGACTCCACCCCTACCCCTCCCCTTCACACATACCCCCCCACACACCCAATACCCTGCCTGAACTCATTCTGGTTCACCCCCCTCTCTAGTCTATTCATATAATCCCAATTTTTTTTTTTTAAGTGAACCTTTTAACTCAGGTTTGTCCGCCCCCATTCAAAAGAGGTACTATGTATGACACAGTGTAACCTCAGTCTGATGGGACTGGGAGATGCCGGTAAAGAGACCATGAGAGAATTGTATGCGTGTGTCTGTGTACATGTAGCGAAGGAAAATCCGCTCGGGAAGCAAGGAATCAACACCTTAGTCTATAGAGACACAAAGGCGGAATAAATAATCTGTAATTATAGCTTTAAAAATGTGGATCCTGCAGGGCCACACAGAGAGAAAGTCTGGAGAACAATAGGCTACACTGTATTTAGAATCAGGCTTATATATATATTTCAGTAAAAAGACAAATTGGTTTATAGATTGAAAGAAAAAAAAAGTCAGGATGTTAGAAAAATGCAAACACGAATGGACAGAGTTGCAAAGGGAAAATTAAAGTATCAGATAGACGCCTGGTTCTCATTCAGGTCAAAGGAATGCAGTGTATATTTTACTTTGAAGAGGATGTCAGTTAGTAAAACAGTGTACATATCAGGCTATTCACAGTGCAATGAGATATTTCACACTGGTTTGAGGTTAGAGGAACTGGAGACTAGAACTGCACTTTGGTTGGGGAAGGCTTTTTAAGTGTGTCTATAATAAATCTTGCACATGCCTGCTTCAGTATGAACGAACGAACCCACTTTAAAATGTATACAAGTCTACATAACAGATTGCATTGTCATGGGAAAGTCCATTTGTTTTATGATTTTAGTTCAAAGTTAAAATGTTTCAGATTTGTGTATGCAGTCACATATTGAGATCTGGCTAGTTGTAAATACACATATGCAGGTGTAGGGCCCCATCTGCTCCAGTAAAAGTGTCATTACTGCATAGATCTTTCTCCCGTGAATGGTTAATTAAAGAGGAGACAGTGGTCTTTAGTGGTAATGGGGGGTGGGCGGCCATTTCCCCCCGCTCTCCCAATCCTAATAAGAATGCACACAAACAGGAATTATTCAGATGTTTTCAGTGAGAGGATATGGCGACTACATACAATTAGCTTTACAATGAGGTTATAGAATGAGGCAGAAAGTAATGTCTTAATGTTGATTCCCAGAGATATTGAAGAAAGATGCCATTTTCATGGTGGTTTGTGTGCTGTCAAGGTAATCAATAGCTGATTAAAGTTTGCCTGAGTCATTTTACAGTCTTCATGCTTTGGAGCAGAAATTCTAAATAAAACGCCCCAGGAATTCTTGTGTGAAACAATAGCGGCCCTGTGATGGAAATAGTCTGTCTGATGTGTATTTACAGAACAAGAGAAAAAACAGGGCAATTCAAACAGATGTTTACAACATATACTTACAATCCCTAACATGTATCAACACGAACACCATAATGACATACTGAGACATTCCTACTATTGTGGAGAGCTACATCCACTCCACTAAATGCACTCCCTGGCCCTCCAACCCAACATGATGTGGGCCATTTTACTAAATTACTTTACAGAATGAATGTATATATGGACATTTCAGCATTAAAACTAATGCTTTTGTTTTTCTTTTTAAGCATTTTCTCCTTTTTTTTTTTTTTTTCCTGTTTTTGTGTTCGACTAAAATCAGACCAAATCACTATTGACGGTACCACAAATGCTGAAGATTTGCAGTTAAATACTGCCACCTGGTGGTCTTAGTAAGCACCTATAAAGTACAACCTGAATCCTTGAAAGCTTAATCAAGTGGGAACATTAGCAAAATTACAAAGGCAGAAACAGAGCTGCTTATGACTTGGAGTTTAATGGCTGGTTGGCTTGCATAGCACAGTAAATCAGTCAGTTTACAGTCTCTGAAAAGACTAGGCTCATTATCAAATTAATTACTAACAGAAGGGAACTGATCACTTGAGTTGAGTTTAGTGGTCAGGAAGAAATCTTGTTAAGAACCACAACAAAAGTAACAAATTTCCATTGTTCTTGAACAAGACAAAACAATACGCTGAAAGCATATAAAAATATACATGCTATGTTGCATTGCACAAAAAGAGCTCATATTCACAAAAACTACAAAAATGCATACACCAGATTACGGAAAAGTTAAAAGACTAGTAAAATACAATAAAAAATAACAGTAGTTCATAACTTCACAGAATAAAACTCAAAGTATTCATAACAAACAGCTGGAAACCACAGTGTCTTTTTACGCTACTTCTGTAAAAACACACTAAATCTTAAGTCACTTGAAATATATAATTTTAAGGCATGTTTTAACAAAATGTTTCAATTGCACCAAAGTATGCTGTAATAAAGTAACAAAAGGGTGTGGTATGTATTTTGGCATTTGCTTTTAAATAATATATATTAAAAATATTTTGCATATGTGGCCATTGCTACAAACAAAAAATGACTTTCAAGTAACTTTCACAGTGGTGGGAAAACACAGTATAAACATCTTCCAATGATCTGATGAATAATAAATATGTTTTTGTCAAACAGTTGGGCTTTTGTAACTCAGTGAAACACTCGTTATAAAAATTACGGATTTCACAAGCTTTACAGTCAAGCCCCACGATGAAATTAAAATGTCCACTTCTTGTCAAAACCACCTGCGGAAGTCTTTGAAAGCTTAGAAAATTAGATTTCAAGTGTCTTCAGTCCTGCACAAGTGGAAAAAGGAGAGATCAGCTTTGTTGTTTCAAATCTAATTAAACCTTGGGATGTGTCAGGTCATTTAAATTGGCCTGTATAGGTAAGTAGTAGGTCTAATAGATAATCCACATATACATACATCTCAATCCATCTCATTTATGGCTTTAGGGGAATCCCCTGACGTGAATGACTGGGGACTTTTTAGACTGACATTTTCTTTGTAGGTTAGGATCTGGCTTCCCAACACCTTTCTCTGTTACAAAAATATTATGCCAAGTTATTATTGAGTAATTTTCATGACTAAACTTAGTTAAATTCAAATAATTAAAAGGCTAACTGTGGATGCACTACCTTAATTTTTTCTCCCAAAGACCGTGAGCGCCAGTGTCTCCGGCAGAAAGGAACTCTTGAGTCCAAAGGAGTCTGCAGCGGCTTCTCAAACTATTGAAACACATTACCCATCAAAACTACATTCAAATCATTTAATCTTTTTGGATTTGTGCAAGTTATGTAATACCTGTTTAATGAGTTTCTTCTTTTTAGCAGACTCGGGCAGCTTGTTGACCTGCTGGTAGAGCTCCTTGAGTGCTGATTGGGTGTAGTTCTGAAGCTCTGTGTCACTGGCCTCTGGCCCGCTCCTTTTTATTGGGGTTGACAATGACTCACCAGTTGTAGGTCCATTTTTAGCTCGGGAATAAAGAGTCATGTCATCCTAAAAATGTCAGTCCAGACAAAAGAGTGTTATATTCTCACCTTTACAAAACCAACATTGTCACAAAATCTTCTGAAATGTCTATGTACCTTTAAAACTTTCAAAAACTAGCTACATTATAACTAGCAGAGTGAAAATGAAAGCATTAACAGAAGGCTGAATGTAATGGCTTAACAAAAGGAATTTACAGTATGGAAATGCTTTGCTCATTTTTCCATCAGGTGAGAGAGCATGAAGTCTGGTTCACTAGAGCACTGTAATCCAGACCCATTTTCGTCCACTTTTCCATGTCCCATGTTTGGCACGCTTTGACAAGCAAAACTGGCTTTTTTTGTTTTGTTATTGTAGCAATTCTTTTGCAGGGGCCGCCTCCTTGTGGTTACTAGGTTGCCAGAATAATTTTCTCTACATTTTTTTTCTAGATTTCTAGATAGACCCTTTGATTATACCATTCACACTCAAACAGTCTATACTTTCATCAGGATGTCTTAACAGTATAAGTGGGTCACAGAAAGTGTCAAAGTCCAGATTTCATAAGCAAAAACTGCAAAATGCCCTAAACTTGTTTTTTAACCAGCTTGCACATAAACAAGCTTGAGTGCTATATGTATTACAGCGAACATTTGTACATTTAATTTCATCAGACTCAAATATGTGAATGGTGCATCATCATCAAAAAATTCAAACAAAAAAACAACAAAACAAAAAAAAACACTTACATTTGACTTGAGTGCTGTTGATCCAGTGAAGTATAATCTGGCGTATTCTTTGATATAAACAGGTGCCTTAGCAAACAGTAAATAAATACACATTAATCAACCATGTACCCATAAGCAAGGCTAAAACTGCAGGACAAATGAGGACATGAGCCACAAATCTACAACATTACATAAATCAAATGTATAAAGCATTTAAATCCTGTGGTTGGTTTAAAAGTGCTTTATAAATAAATAAATAATTTAAATATATGCATAACATTATGAGGATTAAATAGCAGGTCATCAGACAACAAAACCTGACTGATTGCCAGACAAACCACATGTATTGTTGTATTCACATGCAAATTGTATATTCATTCATCCAACGCCTCCCGTATGTCTTGTAACCCTAGCAACAAAACCACTTGCCCATAGAAAAAAGGAAATATATAGATATATTTTTGTATCCGTTTACCCATTACTAATAACACAGGTGGATAGAATTTGAGCAGAAAATAATGTGATGAAAGCAAACAGAAGGATGTGAAACTCACCTTGAATAATTTTTGCGAGTATCGAATGAGAGATGCTACCCCTTTATTTAGTTTCTCAATGTTTCCTTGCAGATCACTTGCTGTAACCTGTCAAACCAAACAACAAAAATAGACTTATCAAAACACTTATTATCACAACACATGGACATGCCGAAACAGCTGACTTTTACATTTTTGGGCCAGATGATGTGTGGGGCAAACATTGTAGCCAGATTGATGGCGGACATCTTGTTCACATGTTGATTGCGGGCTGTATGGTATAGGAGGTCGAGGAGCAGTTTCAATAGGCTGCGATTGGCTGGTGGCAACAACATGAAGAGCAGCTGTAATGCCTCGATTTGGCGCTCTTTATCAGGGATAGTGGTCTTATTCCCCTGGTCATCAAAGCGAGTCAACTCTGCCAAAAAGACAACATAAAAAAACAAATCTCTCATTATATCCAGATTTTTTTAAATTGTATATATCGTTAGTCTCTCTATCTTAATTGTCTACAAAAATAAACTGCCTAAGAACATGGATGTTTGTTTTTGCAGGAAAAAATCTGACCAGCTGATGACACCTACAAATGCGACATGGCCTTGAGTGCATGAGACCAAAAACACAATTTAGCCCAAAATAAATGACTGGCTGGAGATGTTTTCGTTTAAACCACTGCAAAGTATGACACACCTCCAATTTTCAGATGAGCGAGATAGTGCCTGTGAGTGAGCAGGGGCTCTGGAAGTTCTCCCAGGAACGCTTTGAGCAGAGTAGCAGCATCATTTGGGTGGAAGTCTCCAGTCTCTAGATCAATTTCTGCTCCAGTGTTAAGCATTTCTCTGAGGGCAGCCTGACGTAGACTGTGACCTGGTACACGGAACAAACCCTCCACATGAAGATCTAAGGGAGAGAGAAAAACACAGGAGACCCATAGACCCAGTTGAAAGGATGTGAGCAAGTGAAGGCTGCATAAAACGGTCCAGAAAGACTAGGCACAAAACATGAGAGTGAATGGGGAGGAGGGATACAGCAGGAGCAAAGTGCTTTTAGATAAATTATTGACGAGAACATTTGCTCCCTGTGTCTACTTTTGAGCAGAATGACATCATCGCTTCCTAAAATAAGCCCTGACCTAATGCTAATTCGCTGTTCCATCTACATCCACTAATGATTACAATACTAACACCATTCTTCATTATAATAATATTAAAAAATTATAATTTTATAAGCATGATACAAACTGTGGTAATCAGTTTACTAATTACCAGAGCAGAGTAAGAGCGAGGCATTTACTGTTGTGTTCATCTGGTTCCCCCTGGATACTGCTGTGATGCCGCAGGATAGAGGCTCTTCCTTTCCTCAAAGTGCCCTGACACAGGATCTACCCTACCCTACCTACCCTATCCTACCTAACCAGTACCCCTGTTACACTGCACTGAGACCTTTGACTGAGACACAAAGGCGAGACGTGCAGTGGAAATCAACTGCAACAGTTTGCTGCAGCAAAACTTTAATTTCCCTCGGGATTAAAAAATTATCCGTCGGTCTGTCTGATGATTGATAGCAAATGAAGTTACAGTGAGGACATTTTGATACAGTACATATGAACAGAATAGGAATAAAAATCCAAAATTTACAGTTTTAGTATCACTTTAATGTACTAATTTGAGTCACAAAAAAACAAAGCACTTATTTCAGCGTGCGTGTGTGTGCATGTGTATGCATGTGTAAAACTTACTTTTACTTAAGTATTCAATAAGTTGGTAGATCTGCGCAATTCCTTCTTCAGTTAAAGGTGCTCCAAAAACAAGGCCTTTTTCTGAATTAAGAAAAAAAATAACCAGAGGCAGTCACAGAACAAAACTAATTTGTATTCTTAAATTCTGACATTCAATAACACAATAATGCAACAATACATTTTAATTCTATGAAAAACAACAAATGGACAAATTGCCCTGGTGAGTTTAATAAAGCTGAATCTGAATAAATCACTATATGCTCAAATGTCACAGCATTTTTTCTTCACAGCATTCAAAACCATTGATTTCTGTCCATTACTCTCACTCACACCTGCCACACGACTGGTCTATGGGTAGGTGCAATTAATCAAACTTAAACTGATATTTAGTGATCTACAATTGTCAAAGTTTATGGGGCTTTTAAATACATAATTCTTCAGGTAGTCCTTTCAGTAAAAGCATGTGGTTTGGAGTTCAGACTTTGGAGGAAAAAAATGAATTTTTGTCTAGTTTAAGTATAAAATACATTTTTTAACCAGTTCTTTGGCTAAACTCAAACAAACAGCAATGAAATCAAGTTTTTTTTTAGTTTAATACAAGCACTTGTAGTTTCTGAAACATCTTCATTATTAAACAAAGTGTAGTTTGACGTTTTAAAGCCTTATGGTTCACAACTACTGCCATACAAGTTGACTACAATTCATAAGTTAACTTCAATTATTTTAGATATTAGAACACAGAAGTCCAGTCCAGTGGCAAAGAGCACACATATTTATAATAGTTTGTTTTGTATTTGTCATATTTGTTACATTATAAAGCCTAGAATACCTTTTAATCTATCCTCTCAGACACTGTTTCATGTGAAACAGCGCAAACTTGTGTGCACATTTTAAAAGTATGTCTGAAGATAAAAGGCTATACTTGACGTAAACTTGACAATTTCACCCACCCAATAGTTTCTCCTGTCCCCCCCCTTCACTCTCTTTATAAAAGCATCTAACTTATGCCTTACAGTTTTCATCTCACATAAGAATCTAAATATGGATTGCAAACGCCTCCCAACTGTTCAGCGAATTGCTTCTTGTCAGAGACATCAGCCAGAGGCCACTAAGCCCGCAGTGTATAAAAGGGGCACTACTGTGCTTACACGCTAAACGGATATAGTCTGACAAGTATTAGCTACACTATGCATTATCTTAGACACCCAATGACAAGTCTTTGTCAAACCTTTTCGTTTGAGAAAGTTGAGGGAACGCAGAAACCCCCCAGCAGAAGAAGGCACTCTGGGTTCAGCTTCGCCATTGAGCTGAGAAAACTCGTCCCCGGGCAGGTCAATGAGCCGGGTGATGTTACTGAGGACCAGGTCAGTAAAGGCCTGGGGATGCTCATGCCGCAGCCTTTCCACAAAAAAGTCCGGATTGAAGATGACTGGTTGGCTCGATAAGGACTTTTCGTGGCTGTTAAACACGTCGCATTTTGAAGCGCTAATAAAAGAAAGGCCAACATATTACAATGATGTTTCTTCGAAATGAGTGATGCAAAACAACCAGGCTGTGTAGTGTAGATCGTTAGCATAGAAGTGGTTGCTACATAAATATCGGTCAAGTTGTTATGTGTCGCATCTCTTACATAAAAGTTCATTGCGTTACATAAAACCTTTATAGGTACAAGTATATACGTGTATATTAATCCCAAAGTATATAAAAACTCTACCGTTTGTCCAAATTATGCCTGTTGTCGGCCGCCATCTTCGTTTTGAATATTCCGCTGTTTCTTTTTCAGCCCCACCCTTGCGCTCTGATTGGCCACTCACTGGTTACGTGCTTAATGTTAAACTCTAGACTTCATGGGGCCGTGGAAAAAACAGCAGCCATCTTCTGACTGTACAACGTGGTCCCTACTTTTTTCTCGTTAGGACCAGTACTAAATAATAAACTATTTTTCCAGGGAGTCAGAGACCGATGGTAACAACAGGGCAATTTGCACACAGCCCGTGACTTTAGTTTTGAAAATATGTTTTTGTTTGTTTGTTTGTTTGAATTACACAATACAATAATAATATAGGCCCAGGGTTCCCCTTAGACTGGATGTTTATTTGATTTTGGGAACATCATACTGTGGCTATACCAGCCTGTCAAAGCCTGATCACGTCAGATCTCAGGCCCAACCCTACTTGGATGGGAGATCAGGCCCCACAGTGGGGTGCCAGTGGCAAAAAAAAACTGCCATTGTGTCCTTAGGCATTTCACTTACATTTCACATCTCACTAGTAAGAAAGTGGAGTGTGCATTAGTGTTGGTGGTGGTCGGAAGGGCCGATGGTGCAGATTGGCAGCCTCGCTCCCGTCAGTCTGACCCACGGCAGCTGTGACTACAATAGTAGTTTGCCACCACTGGGTGTGGAAAGAATGTACAATGAACTGTGAAATGCTTTGGTGTCTTGAAAGGGACTATATAAATACAATGATTAATTAATTAATTAATTATCATGTATAATAGAATACAGTCTATGGGCAAAATTGATGAATGAAATTTCTCAAAAATAAAATGTCACTGGCATGCATATTCTAATGTTGCTCACCTACTATGTTGGGTAGCTATACCCTAGGGACCATTATCAGTCTCAGCTAGGCCTACTGAAAATATGATTAAATTAATATTAATCATTTACTTTGTCATCAACATGTTGTAGAACTAAGCACTTCCTCCCCCTTAATTTTCTACTTTTATATTTGCCACTTAGACAAATTGTTAAGTAAAAAAACAAAACAAAACAAAAAAACAAACAAACATGAAAACATTGGGATGACTCTCCCAGAGATCCACCTAAACCACCTGCTGTCTGAGGAGAGTGCACCACCCTGCACATCATCTTCTCCACCTGCTGCCCTCAGGTATAATGTACAGGTCCATACAGGCCAGAACTGCCATGTATCCTCAGTGCCCCCCTCCCCTCTCTGCTCTGCTCCCATGGACAATTACCATACTCACCAATGCAATAACATTGAACTGGACATAGCATTGTTGCATAATGACATGAAAATCTGAATGTATGACCCTGTGATGCACTTTAATATTGATGTCCTTACTGTTTATTTATATGTGCTGCACTGAATGTCTTTATTGTCCTAATGTTTACACTGGAGTTATTTATGGGTTATTGGATGGAGTTTTGCAGCTTTGGTATTGCACTATTCATTAAACCTATGCTATGTTTGATGCTCTAAATGTAATTCTGTTGCTTTCTATGACTGCAGCAATGAAATCTTAAATCTGAATCAAAATGAAAAACATGCGTAATGCATTTATGGCATTTAACATATCTTATATAAGTTACAGGTCAGAACTTTACAGCTTTAGCCTAACTGAGCAGGGTAAATGCCAGATAGTTTGCCCCAGATTCCAGGCAAAAGAATAGTATTTCCATGGAGACAGGTGGCAGTCCCAATCAGAAAAGTTTCATAACATATTTGACTATGAAGCAGAGAGGACACACAAGGACACTTTGGCAGACAGACAAAAATTATAACATTTATGGGGGAAAAAAGTAGAAGAAGAATAACCATAATTATTATATGGGCTCCTGTACTCCATAAAAATTATGCACGATGGTAAGTGGTACAATGCATTAGACCCCTTTACTGAAACTGAAGGCTAGCCTGTATCATCTATATTAACAAAAATGTATTTGTTGTTTCCCTGGCAACACTCACATTGCCCACAGTCATGTGTTACTAACCTTACCAACAGGGAAAAAACTATATGTACAGAAAAGTTATTATAAGACAGAGCACACTGACCGCTGAATGTAATGTGTTGGAAAACAACCTGTGTATTTTGTGTTATTATTTTACAGTTTTTAGTCACATTATTTTTCAAACAATAAACAAATAGATTCAAATTAAAATAACAAATATTCATGCAATTATGTTCTATTTTATATTGCCAGTTTGCATACATTTTTACAGTTTTTATAGACTTAATGAAGGCAAGTTGATTGTTGTTTGATTTTCTTCATGTTTAAGTATGTACAGTAATTTTGAAAGTGTTGCTTATAGGAGGTGCTCAAATGCTACATAAAAAATTACACCTCTTCTCTCTTCTTCCTCTTCTTCTTTTCACATTTTATATTAAAACTTCAACTTAGAACTTACAATAACAACTATTCTTAGAGATGTTTTCTTTTACATTTATTTTAACCAGGCATACTATGGCTGGTGATATATCATACTCCTTTATTTAGGAACACTATGTTTAGCAACTACAGTATATTTTCTGCATAGCGGGCTTTGAGTCACTATAGAGCAAATATAATATATGACTATAAATTTGCAACAACAACTAATAGACATTAATGCAATACATTAAGAGAAAAAGCCACTGAATTTGCATTAGCATCACAAGAAATGTAAACAACAACAGTAATGAAAATACAAGAACCAGAAGCTTTGCACAATGTGTCATCTTAAAATATACATGGTTACACTGGTAATTACTGTATCCATTACTTTCTCTCATTAAAAAAAATGCTGCCATGTATGTGCCATATTCTCCCTAAAGCATTTCTATTTTCTTCTCAGAATAACACATGATTAATCAAAAGTATCGAGTAAAGCCATATCCTTTGATTGTAAACATGGTACATCCAAGCTCAATTTGTAGGTTGTTTGTGCCTTTCAGAGGAGAGAAATGAGGTCAGTCCTTGTTATTCTCTATGTGCTTTGAACTAAAAGCTTATTGAGTTCAATACACTGACAAATAATAACAAAAGCACTTTACACAGTCAATACTCTGTGTATATTATAATCTGACTTAATTTCAGTGGTGTCTCTGGGGCAGTAGGAAAAGAATTTATGAAGGGGGCCTCATTGTCAGTATGCACAGATGTTGGTGAAGCTATCCTGGTTTTGTCTCTCACATTTCTATCGTCTCTAACTTCTATCCTCTCTCTAGCTGATGTGCTGCCCTTCTCACTGGTGCTGCTCTGCCTCAAACAAGATATGTCTTTGTATTTCCAGTAACAGCTGGGTCGAAGCCGTGTCAGAGTTCTCCAACACGCTCTACGGAAAGTGTGTGATGACATGCAGAAGAGCAGAGGGTCCAGAGCTCCGTTGATGTACCACAAAGGAAGAGACAAGTAGGACTTTAGGATGGTATAAACAGTGTGGACTGTGTCAGACCACACAACCACATAGACCTGCATCAGAGACGAAGCAATGTCCGGGAAATTACACACAAAGAAGGCCACCACCACAGCACCTACAGCAAACAAACATTTAAGATTAAAGGTACACTAAATTTTCTGGTCTGTCACCTGCTTCTCTCATGAAAATGATTTTTATTTTTTTAATTTGTGTAGTGCATATACAATCACTTTTCAGATGCAATGATTTCCAGGATTGAAAATGTTATGGCCTGGCTAACACAACCTCTCTCTGTGTAAATACAGGTGAATAAAAACTGAAAATGATGTGGTGCTATAGCAGTCTTTAGTTTAAATGATCTACGCTCTTTATGTTAGCATGTTCATCACAACTTCTCATGTTCACCACTAACTCACCCATGAGTTTGAGAGCTCTTTTTTCATTCAGCAGTAACTTTCCATTCTGGTGGCACTGGACATCTCTCCTCTCTTCTGGGTTGGGGCGTGTGAGGCCCATGTTTCTTCGTTGGCGGCTGTTCTTTTTGAGGTACAGAAGGATGAGCAGGTAGAGGATAAAGATAGACACCAATGGCACCTGCGTAGGGAGGGGGTTGAGCCTAATGAATCACATCTATGATGTTATGGATTCAGTGTGTGCTTACCAAGAAAAACAAAGCGGCTCTCAGAATGAGAGCCCCTGTATAGATGTGTGCAGGGTCAGGCTCGGTCATCTCACACATGGTGGAGACATGGAAGGCATCTTCATATTTGACTGCAGTATAGTCCAGGATACAGGCACGAGCCTCGTCATACACCAGAGCAAAGGGGATTGCAGAGACAAGAGAGATGATCCACACTACCAAGAGGCAAGGCAGTCGAGATCTCTGGAGGAACAGGAAATAACAACTTACATTAGTTTCAAACGTAATGCTACTTAACTTGGCATGGCACAGGTGAACCTGACTTATGTCTTGCTCAAAATCTTCATTAACAAATGAAGCAATGTGTAACAGTTGACAATATGTGTCAGTTAATTTGTTGTGCCCATAGATGGCGCTAGTGTATTTAGATTTGTTAGGAAGTTTTCTCGTATTCTTTATACTGTTTATAGTTAATTCCTCATTAGTTGGCTATCATTTATAAGGCTATTTATGAGCAACCGAATTTTATTTGTGCAATATTTTGAATTTTTAGTTGAATTTAGTGAAGTCAGAAAAAAAAAAAAAAAACTTTCTGTTCCGGTTCAATTTGACACTGGCGTGAAGTCGGCCCCGACAACACAACACCGGCTGATACCAATCGCAAGGTTACTATTAAAAGTTCGTACACCGGTTTGTTTATTTGCAGGCTAGAGTGGTATGTACAGTTATGCTTTAAATTTCTTGTGTTTATAAGGTGAGATCTCATGTTATATTGTATGTTTTTAGTTCTACGGTGAACTGCGATAACATCAAGACCGCAGTAAACATCAGTCAAAGGAACCTCGTGTCTCTCGTGTTTGTGAACAAGCCGGCACAGTAGAACACTCCGCTGCCCCGGAGAAGGCAACGAGACCAAAGCTACTCAAGACGCTGAAGCTGTGAATGTAATAAGTACATGTCAGATTGAAAGCCCTGACATTGAAATAAGAAGGAAATGTGATGTGTGCTGGGCTATTAGTCAAGTTGCTAAAGCTAAAGCCCAATGTCTTTCTGACCAAAAGGGCAATCCAGGAGATATTCCCTGGCCAGACTCAGAGTCAGTGTTTGATAGCAGTTCAAGCAGTGTCTCTTCAGTAGTAACCTACAAGTCAAAAGCAATGTCCAAAGGGTCTATCTAAGCGGTCATCTATAGGCACGTTACAACAAAGACAAGAAGCTGCAGCGGATGTAGCAGCCTCAGAAGAAGTCATTAAAATGATGAAAACACAACATCAGTGTGAGGAAGAAATTAGAGAGCTTGAAGTTGAGGATGCAAAGAAAAGAGCACAGTTTCTAACAGAGAGCACAACAATAAAGGCCAAGTTGGAGGAGAAGAGAAAGGAAGTGGAACTATTAAAGGAGATGCAAAGGCATAGAGCAGCACAAGCACGGTTGAAGGTTTATGATGAAAGTATCAATAGTGAGGAAGAAGACAAGCCTCCTGTCTCGCTCTTACAAGTGAATAAAGATAGTTCCTTCTTACCACCAAGTTTTCCAAAGGTGCATTCGAAACAATTTTTTCCCTCCAAAGTCATAGCTCCTACAAGCCACCAAGACCTTCAAGCATCCGTGAGTCAAACAGTAGCTCCCTCTACAGAACAAGTAGCCTCCATTGATCTAGTGAAAACACTTGCTGAAGCTATCACTGCTAACAGAATTCCAATTCCAGAGCCTACAGTTTTCACAGGCGATCCATTACAGTATAATGGTTGGAAGCTGTCCTTTCAGACATTAGTTGACCGTAAAACCCTACCAATACAAGAAAAGCTCTTCTTCTTGAGAAAGTATGTTGGAGGTTCAGCAAAAAGGGCGATTGAAGGTCACTTTTTAGTTGGAACAGAAGCAGCATGTCTTGCAGCCTGGGAAATACTTGAAGATAGATTTGGAAATCCCTTCATGATAGGCAAGTCCTATCGTGACAAGATACAGCTGTGGCCAAAGACCATGACCAAGGACAGCAAAGATCTACGTGAATTTGCAGACTTCCTGAGCAGTGTTGAGTCAGCAATGCCCTACGTACAAGGTTTACAAGTATTGAACGACTGTGTTGAAAATATGAGAATAGCAGCAAAGCTACCGGATTGGCTAAGCGCACGCTGGAACAGGACAGTGACAGAGTTCCAAGACGAATACAAGATGTTCCCTGATTTCAGTCACTTTGTCAAATTCCTAAATAAAGAAGCAAGAATTGTATGCAATCCTATCACCTCACTGCAATCAGTAAAGCAATCTGAGCAAGATCACAAGCATCTTACTAAAGATAAGTCAAGAAGAAGCCATGCTCTTAATGCCAAAACACTGAGTACGAGCAGCAATGAAAAGACAAGTATGGCGTGCCTTTTCTGTAAGAAACCTGGTCACACACTTCACAAATGTTGAAAATTAATGGAGAAAACAGTTGAAGAGCGGGTAAAATTTGTGCAATCCGAGAAGCTGTGCTTTGGCTGTCTTAAGTCCGGACACAACTCCAAGAGCTGTAATACCAGAAGTGTATGTGACAAATGCCACAAGCCACACCCAACATGTTTGCACCAAGACAGAGAGAAAAGGGACAAAGAACTTCCAAAGACTAATAAAGAGACAGAAAAGCTGTCTGAATCTCAAGAACAAGAATCTAAGCAAGTCATGTCAAACAGAGTTGTGCAACAAAAGGCAAGTTGTTGTACCTCCTCAGTTATCCCAGTCTATATCTCCACTATAGACAACCCAGAGGAAGAGAAGCTGGTGTATGCCTTGCTTGACACTCAAAGCGACACTACTTTCATCTTAAAAGATACAGCTGAGTCACTCAATACCACATCTGTGCCAGTCAAGCTCAAGATTTCCATAATAACATCCAAAACAAAGATCGTGCCCAGCTACAAGTTAAATGACCTACAAGTAAGAGGCATGAACTCCGAAACAAGAATCAAGTTGCCAACAACTTACACCAGAGACTATATTCCAGCCAACAAATCCCATATTCCCACAAATAAGACAGCAAAGAACTGGTCCCATCTAAGACATTTATCAAAAGAAATGGCTCCCGAACTTGACTGTGAGGTTGGACTACTCATAGGATATAATTGTCCTCAAGCTCTACTCCCTCTAGAGGTGGTCAGTGGTGAAAGAGACCAACCATTTGCACAAAGGTCTCTGCTTGGTTGGAGCATCATTGGCTATAGCCACGCGGAAAGCGACTACAAAGATGAAATTGGAGTAAATCATCGTGTTATTGTGAAACAAGTTCTGCCAGCTATCGAGTCATCTAAAAAGATTCAAGCTGAAGTCCACTTTGTGAGTAGAACCAAAGTTAAAGAAATGATTACACCAGCAGAGATAATCAAGGTGTTGGAAATGGACTTTGTGGAAAGAACCATTGACGAAGAATCAATGTCACAAGAAGATCTACTGTTTCTGTCTAAAGTGAAGGAGGGCATAAAGCAAAAGAAGGACGGCCATTTCGAAATGCCTCTGCCTTTTAAAGAAGAAAGATCTAACTTGCCCAACAACAGGCTTTGTGCAGAACACAGACTTAAGGGCCTGGAAAGACGTCTAAGAAAGGATGAGCGCTACTGTAGAGACTACATGGCATTCATGCAAGACATCATCTCAAGAGGCGATGCTGAAAGGGTGCCAGATGATCAGATAAGCAAACAACCAGCCTGGTATATCCCTCATCATGGCATATATCATCCCCAGAAGCCAAATAAGATCCGAGTGGTTTTTGATTGCTCAGCAGAGTTTCAAGATACATCACTGAATGAGCATCTCCTGACAGGACCGGACTTCACAAACACCCTTGTAGGAGTTTCTGTGTCGCTTCAGGAAAGGACAGGTGGCCATCATGTGCGACGTCGAACGCATGTTCCACCAATTTCATGTTGCTCCACAAGACCGAGATTACCTCCGTTTCCTATGGTGGGAGGATGGCAACATGGACCAGCCACCATCAGTGTTTCGGATGAAAGTCCACTTATTTGGTGCAGCCTCGTCTCCTGGACGTGCAAACTTCGGCCTCAAGCATCTTTCAGTTCAAAACGAGAGCAAGTTCAGTCAAGCTGCTGTAAGGTTCATACATCGTAATTTTTACGTGGACGATGGTTTGGCAGCTGTAGACTCAGAGCAAGAAGCCATTCAGCTCGTAAGAGAAGCAAGAAAACTTTGTGACACAGGAAAGCTGCACCTGCACAAGTTCATCAGCAACAGCAAAGAAGTGATTGCTACAATCCCTAAAGAAGAATGTGCAGCAGGGGCTACTGACCTGGATCTGGCACTAGGAGAACCAAAGATGGAACGAGCGTTAGGGGTCCAGTGGTGCATAGCATCTGACACATTTTGCTTCAGAGTTATCATTAAGAACAATCCCTTCACGAGGAGAGGAGTGCTCTCCACAGTGACCTCTATATTTGACCCCCTTGGGTTTGTCGCCCCATTCATTCTAGTGGGCAAAAGAATCCTTCAGAGAATGTGCCAGGAGAAGCTGGGCTGGGACGAGCTGCTTCCAGAAGACCTCAAACCGCAATGGGAAGCTTGGCTAAGAGACCTCCAGAACCTGTCCACCATAAAGATACCACGGTGTTATGTCCCATCGACATTCAAGCAAGTCCAGCAGTATGAGTTACACAGTTTTTCCGATGCTAGTGTGTCCGGCTATGGTGTGTGCTCATACCTCAGAACTGTGTCCAAGTCCGGAGAAGTGCAGTGCACCCTAGTAATGGGTAAGGCCAGAGTTGCCCCCACAAAGGTGACAACCATCCCAAGACTGGAGCTCTCAGCAGCAGTGGTAGCTGCCAGAACCGCAAGCTTCCTGAAAAGAGAGTTGGAAATTCACGATCTACAGGAATACTACTGGACTGATTCGAAAGTCGTCCTTGGTTACATTAACAATGATGCAAGACGATTCCATGTATTTGTAGCCAATAGAATACAGCAAATCAGATCGAACACAGAACCCAGTCAATGGAGATATGTTGCCTCTGAAGAAAATCCCGCTGATCACGCATCACGTGGAGTCATGACAGAAGAACTAGTGAAGTCCAACTGGTTTACAGGACCAAATTTCCTATGGCAAAGGGATCTGCCTAAGGAAGATGTTAAAGTGAAAGAAATCAGTTCTAAAGATCCAGAGCTCAAGATCACACAAGTTTTTAATGTTAAAGCAGAAGAAGAAAAATCCGTAGTAGATCGGCTGCAAAGTTCTGGATGATCTCAGTACAGATTGTTTCCTCAATGCACTTCATTGTTTTATCTCCATACGTGGCAACGTCAGTCAATTGCATTGTGATCAAGGCACTAATTTCATCTGTGCAAAGAATGAGTTCCTGAACCTGACTCAAGCTGCTAAAGAGAAAGTAAAAGAGCTGGGTATAAATTTCATCTTTAACCCACCTGCTTCCAGTCACATGGGAGGTGTCTGGGAGAGACAGATTCGGACAATAAGAAATGTTTTGAGATCCGTACTTGATGAATCAGCCTCAAGATTGGACACTTCATCATTGAGAACTTTCATGTATGAAACTATGGCTATAGTGATTAGTCGGCCACTGTCTGTAGAGTGTATCAACAACCCTGCAGGACCAGAGCCGCTGACACCCAACCACATTCTGACAATGAAATCTGCAGTGATCTCACCACCACCTGGAAATTTTGTTAAAGAAGATCTCTATCTGCAGAAAAGATGGAAAAGAGTGCAGTATTTGTCAAATATATTCTGGACTAGATGGAGAAAGGAATATCTGTTAAACCTGCAACGAAGAAGTAAGTGGAACAAGATAAGGAGAAATACCAAGGTAAATGACATTGTTCTGCTGCAAGATGATTGTGTTCCAAGAAACCAGTGGAAACTTGCCAGAGTTGTAGAAGTCACCCCAGGAGCAGATGGCAAGGTCAGAAAGGTCAAGCTTCTTCTTAGTGACTCTACTCAAGACAAGAAGGGGACACATCCAGTTAAGACTGTTTTGGAAAGACCAATTCATAAGACCATTCTTTTACTTGAAGCAGAGTGATGTGTTATGTTTGCCAATGTTAAATTCATGTTGTGTTAACTTCTATTTAGGATCACACATACTGCTAGTAGTGTGATGGTGGGAGTGTAACAGTTGACAATATGTGTCAGTTAATTTGTTGTGCCCATAGATGGCGCTAGTGTATTTAGGTTTGTTAGGAAGTTTTCTCGTATTCTTTATACTGTTTATAGTTAATTCCTCATTAGTTGGCAATCATTTATAAGGCTATTTATGAGCAACTGAATTTTATTTGTGCAATATTTTGAATTTTTAGTTGAATTTAGTCAAAAAAAGTAAAAAAAAAAAACAAAAAAAAAAACTTTCTGTTCCGGTTCAATTTGACACTGGCGTGAAGTCGGCCCCGACAACACAACACCGGCTGATACCAATCGCAAGGTTACTATTAAAAGTTCGTACACCGGTTTGTTTATTTGCAGGCTAGAGTGGTATGTACAGTTATGCATTAATTTTCTTGTGTTTATAATGTGAGATCTCATGTTATATTGTATGTTTTTAGTTCTACGGTGAACTGTTATAACATCAAGACCGCAGTAAACATCAGTCAAAGGAACCTCGTGCCTCGTGTTTGTGAACAAGCCGGCACACAATGAAAATCATGCCTTTACAAATTTATAATAAAATATATAAAAAGAATCCCAGTGGTGGTCCATTAATTACATGCCCTATCTTGAATATGTTATATATTTTTTTTCTTTTTATAAATAAAATATGTGCAACTGACCTTCAGACTGGAGACAGACCACATTGTATGGCAAATGGCAGCGTAGCGCTCTGCGGTGAACGTCATGATGACCCAGCTTGTGGTGGCACAGTACACCTGTCGTACCATGAAGTACACTTTACACACAGTTTGGCCCAGACGCCATGGGTAGCTCTCCCAGTAGTATCGATACAGAGTGACCGGGATAGTCATCAGCTGCAGAATGTCTGCAAGTCAAAGCAAACGCATCAAGTAACAATGAAGTCCATTTTTACTAACGTTTAGAGATATTTCAGTGGTTCAATCACACTAAAGGAAAGGTCCCCTGCATACCAGCTAAAATACAATATTGGAGGCAAAGCAGTCAAGTGTCTTGGTCAAGGACAATCTCTGCTCAATCATGGCAGCAACTGGTTTAATGGATAAACACTCATTCACTAATAAGACAACTAAATTAAATTAACCCCAGCCTAGACGACCATTCATTGTGACTTGTGAATGTCCAGCGAATAAACTGTGGACAATTAGGCTATTTACAGACATGAAGAGCCAATACTAAAGGTGGGGTATTTTACTTCTATGGGTATTAACTGCTAACACATAACATATTTAGATAAAATAAACTTTATTGTCTCAAAGGGGAAATGTGTCTAAATCCTCTTCAGGCCTGTTTTTGATGAGGAAACAATGCTATATATATATTTTAAAAAGTATATTAATGCTTTAATACAGCTACATTTCTATGTGAAGGACCGTGACCTTTGTAAACTTCTTGTTTAGCTACATTCTAAGGAAAGACTACTTAATTGCTCAGGAAATATGTGCTTGGCACCAAAATGTAACACAACCTTTGTTAAGGGTAAATGTACACAAAGAAAACATTTTTTTCTGACTGCATTTCACTGCATTTGTAAATACCGTACATCTGTATTTGTTTCAAGCCAGATATTGGTGAGGTCAATATATATATAGCCCACTATAAAGACAAGGTGAAGGAGATAGTGAACCATAATATCTTGTTCATTTCACTTAGAAGAGTCCTTCAATCAAAACAGTGCCCCACTGCAATATGAAATATGATCAGCTCTGCTATCGGTCAAGACAAGAGGAATACTTCTGAGCGATGATAAGATTTATCAATATGCAATCCGTATTATCACTATACAGTATGCTAGTCGACCTGATAAAGGGGTTATCACACTGTTATCATAATAATAAGCAACATAATCACACAAAAAACAAACAAACAAACATTTGAATGTAATATGGAAGCAGCAGCTTGGCAAGGCTCAGGAGTCCAATAATCTGAATCTTAGGGCAGTCCATACTTTTGCTGTGTCCTTAGACACTTTTGTCACCTTATCTATGTGACTGTGGTGTGTGAAGAATTGGAGGTGCACAGAAAGGCTCAGGAACCAATTGTAGGAAATTGCATCTGAATTCTACTACCTTGTGTTTACCTTTTTCATCAAGTGTGCTCTGAATGAAAAATGTTGTGTTGTTCGACAGTGCACCTTATAATGGCATGGGAGATGTTTTGTTTTGAAGAACGGTCTTTACACCAAACCATCAGCATGTTAGAGTTCAAACCTGTGTTTCCAAAGCAGAGAGTTATGGTTTATCAAGCTGTATTGGAGTTAATTGTTTTGATGTTAATTAAAGTACTGCAAATGGCGAGTAAGACATGAATTGAGTTCAAAGTTTAGAGCAATGCATTAGAAAAAAGGAATTAAAGCTGTTCAATGTGTTTACTGTGTGGAAATTGAGCAGTAATAATGAGTAGATACATGAACAAGAAGCTAATTTTAACTCCTGTACCCTGGATTGGATGGAGACATTTGTAAAGCAGGCTCTGGTGAATGGATGTGAATGAATGGTAAATGGCACTAAATAAGAGAAGTTAGAGCTAGAGAAATTCAATCAGAGGTAATCATACATGTGATTGTTGTGCTCAAACGCCAAATCTAGAAGAACAACTGAGCATATAAATTCACTATGTACCTGGACCAATTTATAGAACGTTAAGTTTAAATGAGAAAAAAATTAAAATAAAAAAATATTACTTGGAAAGATGCTGTTGCACCTTTTGAAAATGTATTCTACCACATTACTAGTTCCTTTACTAGTAATAGAAAACTTTATGGACATGGAAAAATTGACGGCATGAAACCATGAAAATAGAATGGTAAATCCATTCTTCGTAACTTTCTCCATAGAGATATGTTTTATACCATAATGTTAAAGATTATAGCCAAAGGAAAGTATTCAGTCATATATATATATATATATATATATATATATATATATATATATATATATATATATATATATATATATAATGTGAACCTGTGCACATTTCAAATGTGAAAACACTTGATATCCAAGTGCAATATGTTTAGCTTGTCCTGACCTTGGTGAAAAAGGAACTGAAAACAATTAAGCAATAGCACAGAAGATGAGACACTGATAAAGGTGTTAAAGAGCAGCCAATGAAATGAGTGTCTAGATGAGTGCTTAGGATGGGCCGATTAACATTTTAATAAACGTAGTACCTGATATAACAAGGCTGAGGAGGTAGAAGCGAATGGCACTAACTCTCATGTGTGCATCCATCAGCAATGTCAGTATACTCACACCATTAAACAAGACCTACGGATTTGCACAACAGTCAGCATCATAGACCAGCAGTGATTGCAAGTTACATCTGCATTGTAAATAATGGGATGCATTTTCATACATCCATCCCACATACTCTTTTATTCCTAAATATAAAAGACCAATCAAGCATTACATTGTCACCAGTGACCACCATCGCCCAATAGCAGTGATACAGTGCTTTTTGTTTAATGCAGTCCCATGCTTGAAAAGATACTTTTTCCAATGCACTCCTCCTATTGGTCAGCCTCTGTGTAAGTGACATCTTATTTAGTTAACTCTCAGAAGAAGCAAATAGTTTTAGTTTATCTCTTAGACAGTACAAAAGCTAGTGTATTAAAACGTGTAATATAAAGGTTCTAGAAAATTGTGATATTATTACATTTTACACATCATGGCCACCCCAAATTATAGCATGTTAATCTTCAGTTGCTTGAAACAGAAGTAGACTACCCTATAATATGTAAAAGAACAAAGTTTCTCATTCCATTTCTGCAGTGATCTGCCCAAACTGTTTTAACTTCTAAGGCTGCCATTTCTCCTATATAAACTTTCAGGACGAAATGTTCACTAAATGTCCAGTATATCACCTATAGCAAGAGTAGTTTCCCCTGACCGCAATGTTATGTTTGATGGTCACCAATGGTCCACAATGGTCACCACAACCCTGCGCAAAAGAATTTAAGTGACCAAACCAAGAACCAAACTGTAATGTTTAACATGGCCGAGATCATTTATCACATTGTGGGGACTAAAATGATCACTCAGAACTGCCTCCCTTATGGAAACAAAAATTAGACGAAAATCCTTAGTTATTAAATTTGTTTAAGATTAGACTTAACGTTTAGGTTAGGCAGTAATGATTTTTGTTAATTGTAGTAATCAGTTTCCAGAAAATTAATGTAAATCGTAATGTCCACAAGAAGGAAACGCAACATGTGCGCATGTGTGTGTGCGTGCGTGCGTGTGTGCGTGTAGTATGAAAGATGAAGAATTCTGATAGTGTCATAATCGTCATTAGGTAACTGCACTTGGCTGCATGTGGTCTTTAGCCTATCATCAGTGTAAATTGTACACAGAATCGCCAGTAACACATCATTAGGCTCTCCATAGACTATTTATGTTAAGAATTCATTAGCTATAAGAACAGAAAAACAAAATTATCTTTACCCCAAAGAAGAAGACGACACTATAGAAGAAAGTCATGGGGACCGCGATAATGAGTGGTTCGCTTTTGGTCACACTGATGTCCAGCTGAGGCGCATCACTGGGACTGACATTACAGCTGAATAGAAACGGGAGCTGCGTTGACAGGTTCATTATGGACCTGGTGGAACAAAAGAAAAGCTTAAAGACACTGGAAAAGTGGTGGTCCGCGTAATTCCTATGAAAAGATATAGGCCATGGCAGAACTTAAAGCTACGTTGTGCTTGTCAGCAAAACTACTACCGTTCTTGACACTACATCAAAATTAGAGCCAAAATAAAACAAAAAAAGATTGTACATGTTTGATACTAAATAAAATGCCCCCATAATACCCTTTAAAAAAAGCGGGGGAAAAAAACCTACCTGAGAAGAAAATTGTCAAAATGAAAAATCCACGCAGCTTTCCACAGCGGAGCGATATGGTGTTCCCACTTCTTTATGGTCTGTGCCGGTCTCTATTTTCGTTCAATTGACTCAACCTCCTTTCCTCTCTCTCTCTCTCCTCCTCACCTTTCCTTCACTCATTCACTCACGGCTTTTCGGTCTATCAAGTTAATAAAATGTAGCCTATAGAAGGAAATAATGTAGGCTATCCAATGGCAAAAGAGAAATTCAATTTTTCAACTGGACAAAAGTTTATTTGGTCAAACCCAGTGATAACAAATGATAACATGTGAGAGAAGAAGATATGTACGATCGTCGTAGATAAGCTATTGAACTTTTTGTGTGTGAAAATAAGGCTACACTAATGCATGGGATTTTTAAACAGTTAAAACTGCACTGTGTGCTTTCTTATTGAGTTGAAAGTAGAAGGCATTTTAAAGCCTATACATTTACATAAAATGTCGCGGCATTTGATAAAATAGTTCTTACATTAAACCAAATAGTACTGTGCGGAAGAAACTGGCAGGTCAGGCTATAATCTAATGTACTACAAGATCACGTTAGTATTTTTTTCTTTGGCCAATTATATTGCAATCGTTAGATATGTGTAATAAAAAAAATGCTATTGCACCACCCCCACGACACAGTGATGGTTCAAAAGTCACAGAATTTACCGTCATTTAGAGCCTCCTTTTTCTTTCTTTCTTTTTTTTTTTTTTTAAATCAAATGTCTGGTCACCAGAACAGGGTCTAAATTTGCATTTGCTGACTCCTTCTAGAACATATTTTTGGTCATTTTTAAGTTCATGCTCTCGAGAAAATTGGAAGGATTTCTAGACTGAAAATGTATGTTTTGAATAGTAATTAAGTTGAGATAAGGCAGTAAAATCACTTTTCCCATACAGCCCCTAACCCCAACACCTCATCAAAAATGATGACATGATGAAACAGGGTCTCATGGGACTAACCTAAAGTGGATGCTATTATCTACCAGAGTAACTGTGAAGTGCTCTATAATCTATAAGGCCTACTGCTCCCAAGAGAGCATCTCATGGTTAGAGAAATAATAAGCCTGATTAATGAATCTAAATATTGTTGGCACATTTAGACAACAAAATTATCATTTATTTCTCTGATACATGAAATTATTTCAACATTGCAATACATCAATATACAAAACAAGAACTGTGACTTGTGTAAAACAAGCCTATTCAATGAAATGTGGTTTCAGTTTGTGTGATCCCTGCGTTCTTCGCCATGGAATAGAAATGGCTGTGTTTGGCGAGAAGGTTGCTTGGAGAGTCAAATTCAACTATTTTTCCAGCATCTAGCACCATTACTCTGCAAGAAAAAAGTAGAGCAGAAGAGTTTTATTCAGTGAGCTCTGCAATTACTTTCAAAGGAAGGTGGAGTGAAAAGGCAGCATTATGTACAGTTTAACATCAGGATAGCTTGTACAGGAGGAAGCTAAAGTTAATAATATCAAAGTCGAGCTTATTTATAAAGCACATTTACAACAACCACACCTGCCCAAAGTGCTGTACATATCTATAAAGATAAAAGTTATGGAATAATCTAATATGAATCCAGTCTCTCTATCAAGTTCAATGATATGGACATTTGTGTAAAACAAACAGTAATTTAGTTTAGTCTTTATTTGGAGGGACAATGTACAGAGACATTAAGATAATTTAAAAAATCAGCTAAATAGCTGGTTTCCATTTGCAATCATATGGGGTTACTGTAATGGTGAATACATACTGGGATCACACAGGTTTAATTTCCATTTTTTTTTAAAAAGGTACAGAATGCATTATGTATTTGATTTCAAAAGTGCCTCTGAACCCAGGTTTCAGGCAATCCGGGTCATCTTTTAATGTCCCATTCCCTATAGAACCACAAACATACATGGAGGTCTGCACAGCTGTGGCCATCCATCAGGTATTTTTCACAAAAGGATGCACCATAAATTGAGTCACCTCTCACCCTTGAAACCCGGTACTGTACCTTGATATTTGTAGGATAATACAAAATGATGCAATTGAATCAGTAAATTAAATGTACAATATAAGGAAACTGTATTTTGGCTGTATGCATTACGGAGAATGCATATAAATAGGAAAATACTGTATGTGTAATACTTTTAATAAGGAACTTCAAAGGTGGGTTGGAGCAAAGAAGGTAAGATCTGAGAAAGTAGGGAAATTACAATTTACATTTGACTTGTGGATGACACAAGTCTACTTTTTATCTCTTATTATTGCATTTCCTTGCCTTCATTGACTTTAACTGGAGATTGGAAAGGCGTGAGATTGTCTGGACTCCTCTGCACTCACCTGGAGCTGTCCATTATGGTGTGCAGCCTGTGGGCAATAGTGAGCACTGTGCAATGAGAGAACTCTTTACGGATGGTGGTCTGGATCAGGTCATCTGTCTCCAGGTCCACAGCCGCCGTAGCCTCATCCAAGATCAAGATCCGAGACTTCCTGAGCAGTGCACGAGCCAAACACAGGAGTTGTCTCTGCCCCACACTGACAACACAGAGATGGATATAACATTTACAAAACAAAAGTATGTGCATTTTTGTGAAAATTACTTGATTTAGCAATTTAGTAATCCCAGGAGAAATGTCTGCTTTATCAACAATTTTGTATGTATGCACCACATCAAGGAGGTGAGACAGCATATTATTATTATGTTTAAAACTTCAGAGCTGCATTGGGTAATTTTTCAGCTTTAGCAAGTTCATTTAGGTTAATGGCACCAGAGAGACATTTAAATGATGACGTTTAGGAACAGAGCAACAGAAAAACGGGCTATGGTTAGGAAATTGGTTTGAGTTAGCACTAACTTTATTAAACAAAATTTGTCACATTCAACCATTATCTCAGCGTACACCATAAATTTAAATGTGTAACAGCTCAAAATATGAATGTTTAAACCTGTTCATAGCAACAAAAGAGAAATATGTAAATATTAATGTAATTCCAGTAATTCCACGTAATGTATTCAACAAGCATGACGAATGAATTCACCAAGTTCAGTTTAAGATTTTATGTATGAGGTTGTCGGAGAATATGAATTGTGCAGAAGGCAGGGATTATGGAGTAGAGTTTTTTTTTTTGTTTGTTTTTTTTGCGCACTAATCCATAAGGCAGGTAAGGAACTCCACAAAACTGTTTCCTCCAACACAGCACAGCAGAAAGAGAAAGGACAGGTGTGTTGAGGCTGTATTTATAGGCTTGGAGGTGGAGTCTGGCAGCTCAAAGGAGGGAATAAGGCAGGACAATGGGAGGGTCAGAAAGGAAGCAGGAGTGGGATTTTCTACAAGAAGATTACCGAATACTGTAGTGACCAGAGCTACATTATCACTCCAATCCCTCTGGATCCAATCAGCACTCTTCAGATACATGTGTGGCTTTTCCATTTACTTTACAACTGTGAATTCTTACTTTTATTTTGTTTTTTGCTATGTTTTGACAAGGGTAATATTAATCACCCCTTATTTTAAAAAAAGTCAGTAAATAAAGTCAAAAAGTGCCAGACCTGAGATTTTCACCCGCTTCAGCGACCTCATACTGCAGCCCCTCCTGCAGCCCAGTCACAAAGGTCTTAAGGTGGGACAGCTCCAGTACTTTCCAGATCTCCTCATCAGAGAATTTGTTGAATGGATCCAGATTCATCCTCAGAGTGCCTGAGAACAGCACCGGGTCCTGCACAGAGATAGACAGGTCAGTATAGGTGAAAGACCAAAACTAGCACTAGTGTTTGGATAGTACCTGTGGTATGATTGTGAGCCTGCCTCTAAGATCATGGAGCCCTATTGAAGAAATGTCAACACCATCAATAAGGATCCGACCCTCTGCCGCTTCAATTATCCGGAAAAGACAGTTAGTGAGGCTTGATTTGCCAGCTCCTGTTCGGCCCACAATACCAATCTGAGTAGGAGATGAGAGAGAATACATTAGAATGCTTTTGATCAGTCTGCACCACAGTATACCGATCTGCATACACTGGAACATATTAGAAGTATTTCACACAGCAGGAATGTATATTTTCAAATTTTTAGCAGATATTTTAACATCACAAATGTAAGACCAAGAATGCACTTGAGAAAAGAACTGAAAATCTGATTAGAGCAACCAAATAATGATGATTGCCTGACTGTCAAAGATGAAAGGCAAAAGATGAGAGCTACATCAAAATCTTTTTTTATTCTAAAGTCACAAGAGTCCTTCTTGTTGAAGTGACTGAAATAGCTGCTATCCTTTAGGTAGTTGATCAGAACCTTTTTTTTATAGGGGCAATTTCCCTGGCTTTAATAATCACTTAATCACCAGTCATCTAATTTGATGGTGGAGTTTCCTGTCTAACTGTCAGATTGCTGATTGTTTGACGCAGTTTATGGGTAAAATCTCTAATTGTGGGGCCTATTCAAATGAAAAAAAAAACAAACAAACATACACAACGACAACAACGACACAAAGTTCAACGTCCTCTCAAAAAAATATATATATATTTTCTCAAAAAATGCTTTAGAAAGAGCCTTTAATGTCACTTGACATGATTGTTGTCAACTGAAAGGTTATTTACAGGTGCACAGTGTAACTTTTCGGGTGGAAGGTCAACCATCTGCTTGTCTCCATGGCGATTATACTGTTTTTCCATGATTATTTCACACTATGGAAATAAACTTGGTAACCACAATGGAGACAGATGAAAGGTCAGATCTGTGGAGAAGCAAGCCTGCACAATGCACATGGTAAGAATTCATGTTTTTTAAGATATTCTGAACTATAAAACACCTGTGATTAAAAAAGTGCAAGGGAGATATGTCTAATCCCTTTACGGTGGAACATTCCAAGCAAAGAAATAACATCTCCATGGAGACAAGTAAGTAGCAGACCCTCCATTTTAGAAGTTACATAGTGAACCTTTAAGCCATATAATGAATATGGCAAGGCCCAGGTTAATTTGTATATCGTTATCTTCCATGGAGTTGCAAAACCCTCAGCCTCATCAAATACTAACATTAACACAACTTATTGAGACATATGCATTATAACTAACCATTTACATACATTACTTTTACATAACAAATGAAGAACAATAATTAATAAATCAAGGTCTTGCTTGTAAAAAAGATGTCCATACCTTTTCTTGGCTGTTTATGAAACATGTAACTCCATGCAGCACCAGGTCCAGTTCAGGTCGGTAGCGCACCTTAAAATTTTCAAACTGCAACGTTCCCTCCTCCGGCCATTTTTCTGGTGGTCTTTTGTCTGTTATCCATTGAGCCTACATAGATGAATATAAATTCCTTTTATTAAATAAAATGACCTATGGTAAATAAGAAAAGAGCTGCCACAGAACCATACCTCATTTTCAATTTCAGAATATTCACTCACTCGCTCCACTGCAACAATATTAGTCTCCAGTTCTGAGGTCATTCTAACCAACCAGTTAAGAGTCTGCGTCACCTGTTTTCACAATGGTATCAAATAGAAGAGTGCTCAGTGCTAATAGCTGCACTAAATATACCAATGTGGAAAAAAAATGCAGAAATGTGTGAGAGAGCAACTAACATTAAGGGCGTAGGATATAGACAGCCCCACCAGGCCACTATCAAGACGGTTTCTGGAAATGACGGCAAACAGTGCAGCAAAAAACACCACCAGATTACCCACAGACTCCAGGCGAATCGCGACCCATCTGTCACATGACATATTGTACAACATATATGTAATAATAATGACTGCTTATGTAGGTTTGATTACATGACACAGCATTGGCCTGGTTTGTGGTTAAAGCTCCATTGAACTTTGAACATTCATAAATTACTTATTCTTCCATGGGATTTGCAACAATATCATTTGATTGAATCCAAATCCAGGCCAAAACATCTATATACTGTATCTTTAGCATAAAACTGAGAGATCAAGATTATTACATTACCTGTTCGACACAATCCAAGGGTAGACAGATTTCAGATTTTCATCAATTGTGGTCTCATTTTGTTTGAGAAATCTTTCTTGATGACCATAAGCTCTTATCACTGGCAGACCAGACACTGTCTCTCCAAAATGAGAGTATATTGGAGATCGAGATACAGAGTCCAGCCGACGTAGCTGCCTTGAAGTGGCCACATAGAATCGCTTTAAGAGAAAAGGCAGAGATCAATGTGAATGGCACAGTAAGTATTGCACTCTTTCCTCACCTAAACCATGTAATAATTCACTCACCTGTACAAAGTAATAGACCACAGCCAGTGGGATTATGATGATGGTAAACAAAGGGGTGGCCAGACAGATTACAAAGAGTGTACCCAAGACACCAAGAAAACACAGGATCCAAGACCGGACTGATTGTGGTATAGCTTCATCCACTGTGAAAATATCCTAAAGGACAACTGTAATTAGCTTCCAACTCAGGGTAATGTTCAATACTAGGAACAATAGTAGAGACAGCCCACGTTTGCATTGTACCTCAAAAGCAGTGAAAATGTATTAATTGGTAAAGTAAGAAAGACAAAGTACTTTTGTGTGAACATTGAATCATATAATTTGTTCTTAGCACCCAGTTGAGAGGACCTGTGCACTCTTTGAAACAATAATCCCGAGAAACACAGAAAAAAGTCTCTTTGGGTCTTAGATAACATATTGTAACATTGAATTATTAAGTTACCAGTATAGAGAGAACAATAAGAGATACCTTTGCAAAGCGGTTGAGTATTCTGCCTGTGGGGGTGGTGTCAAAGAAGACCATAGGAACTTTCAGTATGTTATCTAGGAGCCTTGAGTGCATTATTCGCGAGGCAGACACTGAAGCATTGGCCAGAAGTATGGTAGCCACAAACACTAAAATGCCTAAAACAAAGTAGGGACAATTCAACTAATTTCAGTCAGTTTATGTTGTTAGTTCAAGGTGTATTTCATAACTTTTCAGCATAGGATAGAAAAATTGAATGGTAAATTGGTAAATAAAGATGATGTGTTACCTTGGGCCACTCCCAGAGCTCCAAACACCCCAATCCTGGTGTCACGTTTCCAGGATGGGTAAGTTATGTTGGCGTAGGCAGCAGCATCATTTGTCCAGTCACTCAACCACAGATTTTGCCCAATGAAGGCAATGTTTTGAATGAAATATATTGCAGTCACAAGGAAGGTGTAGCCCCAGCCCATAGCACGGATGTACTGGAGGAACACTGATAATTTGACCTTGGAAAAAAAGCATTTATTTCACATTAGCTCATTAACACATCATTAGCACAGTCTATGTAGAACTGGATAAAAAGAGGTCTATTAAATCAACATAAAGTAAGGTGCAATCATACTGTTTCTAGTATTCTAGCATTAAAACAAAACATTTGACCTACTACAAAAAAACAACATTTTTTGAAATAGGTCATGTTTTTTTTTAAACATGAATACCTGTCCAGACTCCATAGCTTCTTTCTCAATCAACTTTTGTCCTTTGATGAGTTCATCTTTTTGTTCTTTCACTGAACTTGTGGCCCTTAGTCTCACACTAATGACAAATTAAAAGGTCATTACATTATAAACAAAATTAAAAAAAAAAAAAAAAAGAAAACTAATATGGTTTATACCTGCCACCGCGTTGACTTCGCCTGATACTGTTTTCTCTCTTCAGTGTAACAGAAATAGCGTCTTCAAGGGGAGAGTCTAATTGAGTGTCCTCTACATCAGGAATAAGTTCTACCTCATTGCTATCTAGAAAGAAAAGGAACTCTTTTATATACAATGTCAAGTAATACAGACCTTTTCCCCCTCATGGGGATGTTCAAATTTAGAATGTTGTTATGATGTTGTTACCTCTGTGTGATTGGTCCTGATTGCTTTGCTCTTTGGCATACGTGTCTAAAAACTCTGCAAAAGCACCCTTGCTCGCACGAAGGCTGTTATAAGATCCAACTTCAGAAACTGTTCCATCTTTTAAGACTATAATTTCATCAACAAAAGGCAGAAAACTAACAGCGTGAGTCACAAGGACACGGGTCTGAAATACGCAGAAAGGAAATTAGAGTTTATGTGGCTACAAAGTATATTCACCAAACTCCAAAAGCAACCAGACAGAAGTTAGAAGAACCAACCTTATCTCTGAGAAGTCCATTTGGTCCAATGACTTTGTCAAACAGATGTTTTCCTACATGTGCATCTACAGCAGACAAGGGATCATCTAACAAGTAGATATCAGCTTTACTGTACGTAGCACGGGCCAAGCTGACACGCTGCTTCTGACCACCTGAAAGGTTGATACCCTGTGAACAGAGCAACACATACAAACACTTTTACTATGGTTAAATGGCAACAATATACAGGACAAAGTAAAGATGGTAAATGGAAAATGATAACATTTCTATAGTATATATTTTTTACCTTTCAAGGCACACAAAGAGCTTTACAAGAAGGAACCACTTACCCATTCACTCTCATACATGAGTGCACACAGACAATGAGGGCAAGATGGGTTGAGTCACTTGAACAAGGACAAGATTTATGTTGGTCCATTGCATATTTCATAACATAACAGATTACTGTAGACCTCTGTAGAAAACATCCCACCTGAGGACTTACATTTTTATTATACATAACGTGAGGTCACCTATACCTGTTATTCGCCTCCTGTAATTTGTGACCATAATGTTCTGTTTTAATATACGCAACATTGTCCAGATTGTGAACACAACTAGCAGGGATGAATCACATATTAACTTAAGGACAAAATGTTCAAAACACAGACAACGCTCCAACAAAGATACCAAAATTAAAAGATATTTTGAACTATTTATTTCAACCATCTTATTCCTCTTGCTGTGTATTTAATTAAAGTACCTTTTCTCCAATTTCTGTAAGATCTCCTGCAGCCAGCAATTCAAGATCAGGACCAAGGGCACAGGCCTCAATGATCTGTTGAAACCGGCCCTTTTCATAAGCAGAGCCAAATAGTATGTTGTCTCTTAGCGTGGCATTTTGGATCCATGCTTGTTGCGGGACATATGCTAGTGAACCCTGAACAGAAATGCACAGTCAAAACCATTTTTACTTGACCACTTGAGTATCTGTGTACAGTTCACTTCACACCATCAAACAATATCACTGAGGATTAGCCATTAACATTATTTAGCCAACACAATTAAACAGAACTATTTACAGCCCATTTTTAACATCTACATTTACACTGGTTGTTTTATTAATCACATATCCGGCTCATTACCTGGACATTGATTAAACCTTTTTTCTTGTTCATTTCACCGAGAACAGCTGATATGAGTGAGGACTTCCCTGAGCCAACAGCTCCCACCACAGCCACCAATTTGCCTGGGTTGATCTCAATGGACACACTAGAAATCACAGATAATTTTCAAAAACTGTGACAGATAAATTACAAATTGGTGGTGTTTACAATGTTAAACATACTTTTTTAGCAGTGGATCTGCCTCTCGGTCCCAGGCAAAGGAACCACCAGAAATAGTAATAGCAGTACCTAGATAATTGGTGTCACACAGGGTAAAAATGAAATTTACAGTGAACTAAAGTCAGTATTGTATATGACTTCTGATTCTGATAAAGCATAGCATAACTTCCTGCTTTACACGTGGCACCAAAGTAAAAAAGTATTTAAAAACACAGTGTCTGTGTCTTTGACCCCTTTGAATCTGAACAGCTTTTATAAAATTGAGCCCACCTGCCCACCTTTATCAGCTTAGCCCATGTAGCCGTAGTCATAATGATAATGGTGTGATAATGGTAAAGAAAGTGTTTCTGACAAATAAACTGAAATGTGAGTCCCTAGTGTGATATTATCAATATGTTTTAGAATTTAGCGATACCTCTGTATTACATTTCAACTTGTCTCACAAATTGCATGCAACATGTAAAGTATAAAGTGTACATTTACTATGGGTATTATCCCACCAAACCAAGTAATATACAAAAACATAAAAACTTATCAACTTACTGAAAGAAGGGTCATGCTGCACAATTTCATGGTCTAGGTCTTCACCACCAAGAAATTTCTCAAGACGCTTTTTTGACACCAATGTCTAAAGAGCAAAAGTGCATTCAGGGTGATGTTTGTTTGGATGGCTGTGAAAAAAATGTGATTCAGGAGGTGCTGACCTGAACCATTGCTGCGATTAGCATGGGGAGCATTGCCAGAGGAAAGCGCAGAATATTAAAGAGAGATATAGATGTAAAGGCTTTGGCCGCTGTCAGGACGTTGTTTGAGCTCATGCCGACAAATGTTGCAAAAGTGGCTAATGATACCTGGAAAGCACAAAGTGGACCTCAGCGAGCAAGTTTAACGATGACTGGATATAACTACTATATTGACTCATTGTTCAATACATGGCAGATGGGACAGTATATTTGGGCAGACAATATTGATTGGAGGCCTTTTTCTTTGCAATAATGGAATATTTTTTGTAATTTTTCTATATTATGATGAGATTTGAGCTGTAGAGGGTTGAATGAATAACTTCTATGACTCATTATAGATACAAACTAAGTACTAAACTAAGTGTTTCATTCTGCTATTTATTTATTGAGCTCAGGTTGAATAAAGATACTGTACATTTAGAAAAGTTTATTGGAGTTAATTCTGCTTCATGGTTTGTTTATTGTCTATATTTACTTCAGCAATATATTGTACAGCAAAATTTGTTATCATGACAGACCTAATGATGACATGTATTTTTCCTTTTGACTCACCAGAGCAGGAGCACAAGTCATGATGAATGTAGACACGGATGTGAGATAGGCAAATTTCTTCAAAACCTTCAGCTCTTCCTTTCTGAGTTCTTCCACCTGATTCTGAAAGGAGGGCTCCCATGCAAACAGCTTCAAGATCTAGTATATGAGAAGAGGAAAAGACTAGAATGGGTCATTCAAATATATCTTTATATGAACAAAACCAAAACCAAAACCAAAAAGACACATTAAGGTGCTGTGTAACTTTTCTGGTGGAGGGTCCATCATCTGCTTCTCTCTATGGAGATGTTGCCTGAAATGTTCCACAGTATGGCATCACAATTATTTTTTTCTACAAAGACAGCAGGTGACACCACAGGGCCAAGTTACATGTCAGATCTGTGGAAAGGCGAGCCCACTCATAGTAAAAATGCATGTTTTTAAGTCAGTTAAAAAACATGTTATTGAGTAAATGCAAGATGGATACTTTTAATGCCATACCGGGGAATTCTAAACAAAACAATAACATCACCATAGAGACAAACATGTGGCGGACCCTCCATCGGAAACGTTACACAGTGTAGCTATAACTATTGCCCAGCATAGATCAATTATTCTGAACTGTGGTTTAGAGTCACACAAATGTGACCATGTGTAAGCTACAAAAATTTTTTATAATTTGGATATGTGCAATACTCATTTCATTCAATCTACTCATAACCCTTTGTGAGGAAAAAGTGCACTGAAATCAGTGAAAAAATTTTCAGTGCACAAGGAGTATGTACCTTTGGTTTTATGACTTGTTATGTTCCTTCTTTATTAAAATATAATAAATAAATAAATAGAGGGGTCACGAAAGATGTGACTGACAAAGAATGTTCACCTTGATTCCATTTAGTATTTCATTGTTATGCATTGTTCCTTCTTTATTAAAATATAATAAATAAATAAATAGAGGGGTCACGAAAGATGTGACTGACAAAGAATGTTCACCTTGATTCCATTTAGTATTTCATTCATGATCTTCAGTCTCTTGTCTTTGTACTTCATGTTGTCAACCTGAAAAAGAAGAAATACATTATAAGTTTACACTTTCATAAAATGTTCTTGGAGCTCTTGACAAATGGCAGTGTAACCATTTTAAGTGTAACTCATTTAAAATGTAGATTTTAATATATATATATTTTAAGTTGTGGTTCTGAAATAAAATAATTTCAAAATATTAATTTAACTGTCCAACCAGTGCCTGTCACTGGCAACACATATAATTCTTGTAGTGTTGTGACATTTCAGTGTACACAGTAAAAACTGATTGGAGTACCAAGGAAAACTGCGTAAATACTGATCATATTTGTTGTGGCTGATTTTTTTCCCCAGCAGATAAGGATATTATTATTATTTTTATTATTACGTTTTTTTCTGGCCAAAAGGTTTTATTTGGGAGGACACCTGTAGCATGAGATCGGGTTAGAGAGGGTAGAAGCCAAGAAGAGACCCACAGCACCGGGTGGTAACATCCACAAATCTCTACAACACTGGCAAGCACAAGGAATTCACAAGATTTACTGAACAATAGCTAACTAATAGAAAAGAAAAAAGAATATTACCAACCTGGATTTTCCTAGCTTTGTTGGCCAACAGTCCATTGATTGGAACCATTAAGATCATCACTGCCAGTCCTGCCAGTACAGAGGGTCCCAGCTCAAACCAGAGGAAGAGGATGGCCAGAGCGATCTGCAGAGGGCAGGACCAGAGCAGGTGGATGAAGTTGGTGACGTCATTGAAGCGCTGAGCATCAGCTGATATCAGGTTCACCGTCTCCCCCACTGTGGACTCCTTACGTACGTCATTTGATACAACCAAGGCCTGTGGTGAACATATAACATGAAAAATTTGCTGATAATTTCAGAGCATAATGCTTAAAAGTTGGCAAGAAAAAAATAATACTGATTCCTTTGAAACCATGAAATGATTTGTAGCTAAAAACAATCATCCCCACATACTCTGAATGCATTGTTTCCTGACAAAATGCATGTTGGGGGTAAAAACAAAACAAGTGGCAATTTACTCTTTGTGGCATGACCTTTACCTTTTTGTAAACTGCTGCCATAATGGCAGTGCGTACTTTCACGCCCAGCACAAAGCAGCGCTGGAAGTACTGCTGTAGGAACACAGACTGCAGCAGGGCCATGACCAGCAATAGCACTGCGTACAGATAGCCCTCCCAAACCGGGCGCTGTTTGTCCTGGGTAAATTCAACCATCATTCTAGGGACAAAAAAAAAAACAGGGATTATGCATCACCATGGCAATCTTTAACAACACCAGACAATAAGTTGGTTCTGTTTCTCTAAAAAGGGTATAAAAGTCCATGAGTAGAAGTCTCTGAGTGGATCTAGTTCACTGATTGGACTGCTACCTTACTGGCTGGTATTGTAAGCGTTGTGCCAGATTGATTCAAGAGAAGACATATTACTGATCCAAACTTCTTAACAAAGTGCTGCAACTTGTATCCAGTTATCTCAACAAGAGTTTCACATAGTCTCAGACTAACATATTTCAGTGCTTTTTACCAATGGTATAGGAATAACAAATCCACAGCAAAACCATAACAGCTACAATACACGTTTGGACAGAACATCAGTAAAAGAGAGAGGCTGCACTTGATCTACTTACTTCAGAATCTGAGGACTGACAAAACTCAACAGGTCCTGTAGAAGTTTGAAAAGAGCTGACTCAATTAGAACCCACTTAAAAGTTTTGTAAATGGCGGGAATTAGCCATGAGTTGGGATAATCTTCTTGGTCTTCTTTGTTTTTTCCTTTTTTCTTTTCTGTATTTTTAGCCTTATCTATTTCTTCCTAAAGCAAAGGCAGGAATTAATGACAAATTTATAGGATTTGTGTCAAAACAGTGTTCTGACAATGTGCTAGACATAATGTAGTATATGTGATTACCATCACAAGACCATCCTGACTGACACCTTTGGCCAGACCATTGGACGTGCCGTTTGGAAGGGTCTCATCTCTGTTTCTTCCCTTGTCCATTTCTTTCTTTTGTCTTTTAAGGCGGTGTTTGACCTGAGCTGCAGCCAGCTCTATCATCATGTTAGACTGAAACTTCCTGTTGATATAAGAGGTGCTGTCTGCCTCATTTAAGTCCCACATGTCCTCTTGGACCAAAGGACGCTTGTAGCCTGTAAATACCATACTGAAAAGAAGGTTTAAAGCATGAATAAATAATTTCAACACCATTTATGATTATGATTATTGTGATGATTATGAATGTGGTTATGATTATGTATATTTCCAGAATTTACCTGTTGAACCAGTCGAAGGTAATTCTACTAAAAAATGGTGCACCCTGTTCAGGATTCTGAAAATTGAATTGTGAAAGTGTAATATTAATGCATGGCCACAACACAGACAAATACTTATAACTGCAGTAAGATAACAACAAATACAATATTATTTGGACAAATCTTTACCTTTTTTACTCGCTCTAAAAGTTCGGGTGGAACGTCGGCCATAGCAGACAGGACAAAAGCGCATAGTTCCAATGCAAAAGTAATAAAGAATAGAGAGAAACGAGGCACATCAGTGACTTCCCCCTGAAGGGAACAATTATTATTTCATATTATATATTGAAGTCTTGAAGTGTAAAATTGCTCTGTAAAAGCAATGGCAGTAAATGCACATATTTAATACCTGCTTGAGGGCTGCTCTTAGTAGAGTTTGAAATGGAAAGACATGACAGACAATTTGAAGCAACCAGAAAAGGCAGAGTGTGGTAGAGTCTATAGCCCCTCTCCTCCTCACTGCTTCCTGGCACAGAATGATCACGACCTAATAACATTTAAAAGAATATGTCATCTGGCTGTATAAAAGAAAACATATTAAGCAGATTAAAGATCACGTCATATTTACCCATGACACTGCATACAGAACAGGGTTCGCATAATACACGTCTGCGTGCTTTGGTGTATTTGGATCTTTACTCTGACCAAAATCTTGCCCCAGTGTAACTGCGAGTGCTGCTACTGCAGCCAGGAACAAGAGGCCTGTCACAATCTGAGAGGAAGACAAACAAGGCTAATTACATTTAATCAATTCTAAGGACTCAGCTCTGAAAGGAAATGAATATGCATATTGTGTGCTACCATAAAATGTAGATATTTCCTACTATACTCCCATCTGGGATTGAGCACTCAGAGCTACATCATAAAAGAACAAATAATAGGGCTGGGACCATTCAGTTCCCACAAGAAAAGCAGTGCTAGACTGACAGCAAAAATATCAAATAAATCAAAAATTGTGAGGATTAATGTGTGAATAGTGCCCTTATTAATTATGTCAAAATCTCATCTTGTCTCGTTGTCATGGACTCCACTCCATTCTCGTGTCTCGTCTATCCCTAACCAGTAGTACCAAGGTTTCTATGGTTGTTTACATCACCTGTTTGCAGATGTAGAGTTTGGATAGATGCTTCGAGTTGTATTTAGTCTTTCTGCACAGGTGGATCAGATGTGATGGTACACTGAGCCACAAGAAGGTGAGGGGGATCCAAACAAGCACAGTCTGTTCCATACACACAGGGAGATCCGGATCTTCTCCCTCCAGGTACGAGGCATTCTACAGAACAATTAAATAAACTCAGCATTTGTTACTGTCACAGCAAATGCACCTGAAAAGGTCATCTGTTTCCACTGTGAACTCAAAACATGATTGAAACTGTAATCCTTATTTGGTTACACTTTATAATAATGGTCCATGAGCTAATGAGCTAGTTCATAATGACTCATGAATTAACCATGACTTCAACCATTAACTCATTTGTTTGTTCGTGTGTAATATTTGTGATGTCAGTGACCTGGTTTAACCAAAGGAGTAGTGGGCATGTGGAGAAAGACCAGGTTAGACTGTTGTATAAATACAGTTTGATTGATTGATTGATTGAATTGTCTTTAAACTCTTTAATCCTGGGGTCCCAAACTACTGGTCTGAGGCCCAAAACTGGGCTGCCAGTCATCTGGTACTGTGTCCCAGAGAAAAATATGTATCTCTATAAAAATAAAAAATAAAAATTCTTTTAGTCCACCATATTTATTAAACCACACACTATGGTTAAGAGTCCTTATAAGAAAAAAGGCTGGGGACTGCTGATTTAATCTGTACATCTGATATTCTGCCTCTTGCATACTGCAGAGTATAGAACTGAATAGCAGAAATATTTACAATAACTTGATTTGCATCTCAAGTAAAGACGCATCGATTAAGCTTTTTCAGTTCCGATGTTATTTATTTCTTTTAAACATAAACAGCGTGAGGTAAAAACGACTCAAATGTGCTTTGTAACTGTTATTTATCACCTAAAGTAATTGGTTTGTAAAAACACAAATTTCACATGAGACATTCTGGGTCAACATGGGCCATTAAATCATCTTATTACAGCAATTTATAGACTAAAGTGGGATATTTACTGAACTGATATCTTGGAAGCCGATATCCAATTCATCAAAATGTTCAATATCGGTACCGATATCTGATATAATTTTTCTATATGTACCTGAATAATTTACTTGAAAAACCATGTACAAATGTCAAGGCAGCTCTTAGTAAATCATTACTGACAGTCTAACTTTATCAGTACACCTTTACTATTGTAGTACTTTTTTAGAAAGCTAACTTAAAATATTATAAATACACTCTCTATATACATTACCATGTCTACATAACAGTGCTTATCATCATGTCATGTCAGTACTGTCAAGGCATGTTTACTGGTCTATCGCTGTGCAAAGGTGAACAAGCAAAATCACAAAAAAATCAAGGCAAAATTGAGACAAGCATTTTAACAAAGGAAATACTTTGTATAACACAAAAAACAGGGGAAGTCACATTTGGAACACCTACATTGCTATTAAATTATATGTTTTGCTAGTGTTTGAAATGTTGCATGTTCAACTCCACTGACATTCAAAGCACATAATAATAACTTGTATCTTATTTTGACATATTTTTACAGGCTACTCACCCAGAAGGTGGACCCACAGTACTCCTCCAGAGCAGCAGCTGACATGGTCTCCAGTGGTGCCTTCACTTTTTAAACAGAAAATCTTCTGTCCTGTGCCAGACTATTTATGCTCTCCTCTGTCCTCCCACACTGCAGACAATCACAGGATGTGATTCAAAAACACAGGGCTTTGAAGCGTAAGTCAGCTCCTACAAAATCCTTTTGAAGTGGAAAGAATCTTCTCTTCTAGTCAAGTACAATACTTAGCATAACTTAGTAACTTTTTGTTAATCCTAGAAATATTATTCAATGTTCAATTAAACATTATACATTAGCTACATAGTAAAACCACACATCTCACAGAGTTGTTGTCTAACCTCCAAATGACGTGCTTTGTTGGGTATCAACAGGCTGCTACATGCCTCTGAGCTCCTCTTCTGCACTCGTCCAGTGAATCCAATGTCACAGCTCTTCTCAGACCCTGCGCTTTATGCACGTGTCTAAAGTCCAAACTGCCAGGAAGATGACTGTGCAAAACAGAGAGAAAACACACAGACCACACACATCAACTCTCCTACTCTGGGAGTTGTGTAAGGGACAAGACTCCCCCCAAAAAAGGGAATGTGTTTAGGAAATGGATGGGAGGGGCTCATTAAACAGTTTTCCTGTGCTGTTTCGCAGTTGCATGCAATCAATTTCATCTATTCAAATTGTTTTACCAGGCTTCAACTGTGTGGGTCTTGTGTTTGAACTACCAGATTTCAGAAAGAAGCGTGTATAAAAACGGGCTTGGCTTTTCCTTTTTTTTCTTTTAGTTTCCTTTTCCAAACAGATGGTAGAAACTGGTCAATGGCAATTCTAAAAGATACACAACAATAAAGTCATTTGTCAAATGACTTCCAGATGTAGCTTCACTTGCAGATTTATTCAAGCGCACCAGAAACAAACCTGAAACAAAATTCAAATATAACTACTGTATACAGGCAAATAGATACTTTATTTCCCGAAGGAAATTCGTATTTCTGGGAGCATACAATACCTAATACATTAAATTCATATGAATGTATCAAATTATAGTGAAGTTTTGAATAGCCGTACGGCAGAATATAGTAGACTTCCAGAGTCTGTCCATGGAGCAAGGCAGGGAAAAACGGGACAAAAGCCTGTCCCCAAACTAGGTACTCTCCTGTCCAGGGGATGGTTCTGTGCAGGGGGTGCTGGGGGTTATCGGGGTTATCCAGGATGGACATGAGCTTGGTTAGAGTCCTTTTCTCAGCCACTTCTTGGGTTGGGTCTTCTTTATTGTGTAGTCATTAGGGTGCATCAAAAAACACAGTTCTTGAATTTTGATACGGCTGGGTGCTAAAAGTGTTTCAGTATATGTAGACATAACACATACAAAATATTTTTGTGGTACATGATGATTTAAGGCTGTGTTTGTTGGATAAAGTGGTAAACAGTGTTCAATGGTCGCCATGGAGATGTGAGGTAAATAAGACTGCCGCTCAAGAAAACTGAGGTGGTCTTTTTGTTTTTGTGTTGGGTATGTATTATTACATGCTACTATCTTATCTGTAGATGTGTCTTTGTATACTTAAGTCATATGTATTTGGTGCTCATTACATATAGCTAACATTAGCTAACCACAGTTAGCTATGTATGTTCGTTAAGCTATTAAGCTTAACATCAACAGTATTCTATAGTGGGCAATGTCATATTCAGAGTATTGATGTCTCATGTTTATTGAGAGCAGAATTGTAGTTGTTACAGTAAATTAACATAAGTATATTTGAGAGCACAGCTAGCCACTCTGGTAGTGATATAATGGTAAGTTATAAGTACAGCTAAAATTTGAGGCCTATCCAATTCCAAGCATGATTTATCAAAATTGAGTGATGTTAAGTATACCAAGGTATGATTTTAAACACTATCTTTGAGCTTGTATCCTTTTCATTCGCAGGCACTATAGTACAACACAACCCACCCCAGGATCCAGCTCTCCTAAAATGCTGCCCTCACAAACTGGTCCTTGCCAGACTAGCAGTTGCAGCATGGTCTTTGGTCTGAGCGTCAGCATCACCAGTGAGGATGGCAGCATAACTGGCACCAAACTGCCAACTGGTCAGGCAGTTGAACATGACCACAGCCAACAGCCAAACCTTCGCTGCTGCAAACGCAAGGTAATCCCTGAATAGGACCCTGGCTCAGAGTGAGCAATTAAGTTTGAAGTTTAGTTAGTGAGATAGGGTGAGGAGCTCAGTCACATGAGAGGAGCTCAGAGCAGAGTCGCTGCTCCTCCATGTAGCTGAGCTGGCACGGGCATCTGTTCCGAATGCCTCCTGGATGCCTCCCTGGGGAGGGACGGGGCACATTCCACAGTGAGGAGGTCCTGGAGAAGACCCAGGACATGCAGGAGGGACTATGTCTCTGGGCTAGCCTGGGAACGCCTCAGGATCCCCCCTGGAAGAGCTGGAGGAAGTGCTCGTGGAATGTCTGTGCATCCCTGCTCAGACTGCTGCCTCCGTGACCCCGGCACCAGATAAAGAGGAAGAAAATGAATGGATGGATGGGTTTAGTTCGTGTCAGCTCTTACCATTAGGCCCTGTTAGTTAGTGAGGCCCAGCCTGTTAGTTAGTTAGGGCCAATGAGTTCTTTTAAGTGTGTCACTAATGCCCCTTGTGTTTAACAATAAAGTCAATTAAACTTTATAGGTGTCTGACATCCATCACTGCTGCACAAAACTCAGGGTAAGGCCACCTGAACATGTCCCATTGACCTCCATTCATTTTATCTATAGGACAAATGAATGGAGAATCTTGAAAGTTGAATTCTGAGAAATGCCCAAGTTGATCAAAGAGCAAACAAACAACTTTAACTCTGAACCCTATAAAATATGTTAAAGTATAAAAGTTCACTGTACTCAACATTTCCAGGTCAATCTTTTGGGAATTAGACAAAAAATTGCACATTTTTCAAAATTTCAGAATAGTTCATGTGTTAGGTGGCACTCCTAAATCTCAGTGGAATTAATTTTTATGTTAATTGGAACAAAATGCAAAGCCAGCCAAACTGATATTTTGAAATAAAAAATTCCCATTCAAATATGATGCACCCTAATAGTCTTTATAAGTACAATATGAGATTGCAATGAAAAATATCATTAACTGAATAAGCCCTTACCTTGTTCCACTTTCAGGTACTATATAATTGTTAATGATTGCTGCTTTGATTACCCTACATGGGCTGCAATTCAGTTGACTCACTATGCTTGTGAAACCCAAGAGCAGCTCTGACATGTGACTAACAGATAAGCATAGCTGTCAGCACATATAAACCATTTACACGAGACAAACTGATTTAATGTCATGTAATTTTAAATAAGATTGACCATCTCTGATCTTAGCTTTTTATGATACGTAAGGAGTAAAACTGAAGGAGGTGTGGTGACACACACCAGTGTTTCTGAATCATCTATAAATATACATTAATGAGCTGATCGGATTCAGAGGTAAGTATAGCATTAGAGCACCACTTTAGACTAATTAGGCATCAATGAACAGATAACAAGATTACTCTAACCTTTTACACTCTTTAATCACTATTTATGGTGATGGTGTATGACAAGTGTGAACATACCTTTTTATTTAAACAATAGTTGTGCTTCTTTTAAATTTTTTATTCTTTAAGAAAATATTACATACATTTAGCCTTGAACAACCTTTGCCATTAACAATACTAATACTAACTCAACATAAATAGGAGAGTTTCTAAAATAAATCACCTAGCAGAGGCTATGCATGTTTGCAGGGCCAACCAATTCCAGTACTGTTGCTGGTGATATCGGAGGGAGGGTTCCAGATATCGGTATCAGTCTTATATGGAAAAAATACACCATTATTTTTCTGAGCTGCTCCAGTCTCTGTATCATTCCCAGTTTGTATTCAGTGGATCAAAGTTGTTGTTTTACACAGACTAATTAATAAAAAAAATTGTAAATAGAACAGCAAAAAATGCTTTGACAAAAAATATGGCTGTATGTTTGCAGTCATGCTTAGAACAAAATACATCTGTGGGCTCTATGGATTTTAAAATCTTAATACTGGTACTTTATCAGCCAAAGCAGCAAGACAAATATTGGAAAACGGTATCGCTCATATCAAACCATCCCTTTTTTTGGCATTGGTAAAATACTGTCCCTGAGTCATAAAGTCAGTCAAGAGAAAATCAAGTAATATTTGATCTAGAAAATGTGTAAATACTCATAATTTCTTTTTATATCTACTAGGATCCATTTAATGAGTAATGGTAAAGGACAAAACCTGGATTCACAAAGTATTTTTGGCTATTGCATTAAGTGCACGAATTTTGCTCACATCTGCTACCTTTAGGCCATACTCAGGTGCTGAAAAAGATGCTCCCATTGACACACTGGTATTCCTGCACAAGACAACAAAAGTAAACAGGTGTTGTTTAATTCCATGTAATTGTGTGTTCTTACTACACAAACACTCACCTAAACTTCATGGCAGACTCTTTGCTGGAGCGTGCCGAGCAGTGAAACTCCTGAGCCCCTGAACCCTCCAAGATGCGCTGCAGATTTCTCTCTGTTATACCTCCTCCTGAGATCACAGTTAAAACACACAATTAATAAGAAAATGTATTTATAATAATAATATAATAATATATTTACTACAAACCTGGCATTATACTAATTCTTCCTTTTGCCTGAATGGTGGGCAAAAACAAACTGAAATATTATTAATCAGCTATTTAGAAAGGATTTTCCCCCCCAATGTAATCTTGGGATTAAAACAAAGTAAATATATATAAAAACTGTTGCAGGACAGGCTCAAAGGAAGACCTGAGCTGTTTTGGTTGGAAAGGTCACTATCCTCTCCTTGGCCTGGGATTCTGACCAAGTCCTGTAAAGTGTGTAGAGTGAGGTAAGTGCACAAATACATGTTACCTGATCCATGAGCCGTTTAATAAGGGGGAGTCCCTCCAAAGCAGAGCAATCACAGCCACTCGTAAGCACACGCTGGAAGCCTAATGAGACCAGAGTCTCAAGAGCAATGGTTGGGTCATGAACCATGTCAAACGCTGCAAAAAGGATCAATAAAAGAAGCTTAACATTAATACCAACATTATTAAACCAAAATACCTGCTGTTAAGAACTGCATTAGACCATACTAGAATGATAATGACCAATGAAAATTGTAAAAAAAAAAAAAAAAAAAAAGTCAAATGTTACCTCGGTGAAAAGTGACTGGCAAGGGACGAGCAACAGCTTTAAGAAACACAAATAAATAAAGTGTGAATACAGCTCAAAAATCATTTTACAGTCTCATAGTTTGTTTCTGGGTGAACTCTGCACACCTGATGGGGCAACAACAGGTCCGTAGGAGAAGAGACACTTAGCTGAACACTTAGTAAGAAGACACTGGCACACTATATGTTCACATGCACATAACTTATAATGTAATAGTTTCCAATCTCTGAGAGTCAGAAAGCATCAATAAAAACCTGCGACAATGTGTAAGACAAAGTTTTCAACTAATATAATGTATAGGTTGTACCAACCTATATATTTCAGTGTTAAGTTATCTAACAGTTACATGGCCATGTTTAACTGAAATGTCATACCCAGTAACTCCAAGCACAGCTCTGCATCCACTCGTCCGTCCTCTGTCAAGGCTCCCATCACCAGCCCATCAGCTCCATTGAGTTTCATCAACTCTATGTCCTTCTTCATCACTTCCACTTCATAGTCTGAGTACAGGAAATCTCCCCCACGAGGCCGAATCATAACACACACTGGTATTTTCACATTCTGCTTCACAACATTTAAAAGACCTGCCGCAGCACAAAAGCATTTCACACATTTCAAATATGCACAAATATAGACTAGGGGGTCATAATCATTACCATATTTTGATTGAACACTTGTTTCAGACATGAACCTGATATTTCTCATTTTCACACGGAGAACAGTCCTTACCAATGCTAGGGGTGAGACCCCCCTCTAGAAGACTAGAACACAGTTCAAGACGACTTGCACCTGCATTGATGACAACATAATTTATGCACTAAATGTAATCATATTTACCATGACGTACTGCTATTTTACAAACCTCCTCGTTCAGCATTGACAGCAGACTCCACTGAGTCCACACACACCTCCATTAAAAAGCTATCTGCCATACTAGAACACAACACGGTCATTAAATAAGTTGCTATTTATTTGATTAAGAAATGTATTATAAGTAAATATACGCTAAGCACGTTTGTCTTTACGCAAGGTACCTGCACTAGAAGTGCTATCGGTACATTTGACCTTGTGAGACGTTTACAGCAATATTTGTTGCATTTTGGTTAGGTTACACTATCCAAAACACTTCGTAGCATTCGATGTATCAATAAACCAAATGCTTCCGGTATGTTTGATTTTATTTAACCACTGTCCGATGGGCGCAGTGTCTTGGAACGTAGCGTGTTGCCGCCCGGCCGAACAGTGCGGATGACTATTATAAACATCTATTGTTTATTATTAAATGTTTCTTCGCGAAAATATATATTATTTGTGACTACGTTTTAGATGTACTTTGGCAACTATAATTTTATGTTGTAGTAATAGTATGAAATAATACATGGGAAAATAAAACGTAAACGTAGACGTGTTGTCTTTCGTGACGTATAGGTCAAAGTTGAACTGTTGGACAACATAGGAAGTGTGGTTGTGTAAATCTATCAGCGCACATGACCTAATGTTTTTAAATCCATATTTTTCCATTTTTCTACTTCGAAGTTTGCGAGATGATGCTTTCCACGTTTATGACAGCAGCGCGGTGTTGCTGCAGAAGAGTGGGGCATGGATATAAACCAAGCAATGTGAGCTCTGCTAACTGCTAATCTTTGATAGCTGTGTTATAACTTAGCATCCTGTTCATGTAAGGTCACACAGTATGTGAAGTCTAAAATCCTGATCCGCTAAAATGAAGGATTTAGTGTAGTCAAGATCATAAAGTGGCTCTCAAGAGTGAATATACAATATCCACCACGATAACGCGCAGCTATTCTTTTGTAGGATATGACGATATGATATGAACTTGAAATAATCTGTCAGTGTCTGTCTTTGTTATGAAAGTCTTAGACAGTATGATTGAGTGGTCCTCTATTAACTGACACTTAATATGGACATCTTATATTTTAAATATGTTCTTTGCTTTCACACTGCAGAGTGTACAGTTACGACTTTTCAGAAGAAACCAGGGAACAATTGCAGCAGAGGCTGGAGCTACATCTGGATCAGCCACAGCCACTGTCCCCAATGCTGCCACAAACAGGATAGTAGGGCGCTGGCTTGTGGGCTGCAGTGGACTGGTAATTGGAGCTGTAGTTTTGGGTGGAGTTACAAGGTAAAGTTTGCTTATGGCAATGATTTTTGGGATTTATTGTACCATTTGTTACAGTTTCTACTTAATTTATTTCCACTAGACTTACAGAGTCTGGTCTTTCCATGGTGGACTGGCATCTTGTGAGGGAAATGAAACCACCACAGACACAAGAAGAATGGGAAGCAGAATTTTCCAAGTACCAGCAGTTTCCTGAATTTAAAATGTAAGATCATCCATTTATGGTTTATTTTATGTAATTCATAATTAATCTAGCAATGTGTATTTTTATGTATTTCAGATTAAATCACAACATGACTTTGCCTGAGTTTAAGTTTATATTTTACATGGAGTGGGGTCATCGTATGTGGGGCAGACTTGTAGGAATTTCTTACATCCTCCCTGCTATATACTTCTGGAGAAAAGGATATTTTACTCGTTCAATGAAGGGGAAAGTGCTTGGTCTTTGTGGATTTGTTGTCTTTCAGGTAAGATCTAAGTGAAATAAATTGTCAATTAAGTAAACTGAGAACTATGTAGAGTATTACATAAACATTTATCCCCTTAGGGTCTCCTGGGTTGGTATATGGTGAAGAGTGGTCTAGAGGAGAAACCAGAGTCTCATGACATCCCCAGAGTGAGCCAGTACCGCCTGTGTGCTCACCTGGGCTCTGCTCTGCTCCTCTACTGCGCCAGTCTGTGGACTGGGCTAACTCTGCTACAGTTCCCACAAAAGGTTATTATTTTTGCCCACTTTTGCAGGTTCATTTAATTTTATTATTATATATTTATATATATTATATATTTAAACATTTCAGATGGTAGAGACTAAGAATTTAATGCTACTTAGGAAGTTTGCCAAGGGAACTGGTGCACTGGTCTTTATTACTGCCCTTTCAGGTAAAGAAATGTTTTATACATTGTTATGCTGTATGTAACCTCAGTTATGACAGGAGATTGATAAGCAACCTTGACAGAGCTTTTGGTCACATGCATACTTTTTATTGCAGGGGCTTTTGTGGCCGGGTTGGATGCTGGATTGGTCTATAACTCTTTCCCTAAGATGGGTGAGCGATGGATCCCTGATGATTTGCTTGCTTTCTCTCCATATCTGAAGAACGTCTTTGAAAATCCCACAACTGTTCAATTTGATCACAGGATTTTGGTACAGTGCTATTTACAATATTTTGTTGCATATCTTTTAATTCATCTTATTATATAGTTATCATTCTTTCTTTTTAGGGGATCTCCACTCTGGCAGCAATTACAAGCCTGTATCTTTTTTCAAGAAAGGTGATACTTCCTAAAAGGGCTAAAATTGCCATTAGCCTTCTTACAGCAATGGCTTATGGACAGGTAGTTTATCTTTCTGTGTGTATTTGTGCTGTGACTCATCTGTAAACATTTAAATGATGGTTTCCCTTATTAGGTCGCCCTGGGCATCAGCACCCTGTTGTTGTATGTGCCTACTCCACTTGCAGCGACTCACCAGTCTGGATCTCTGGCTCTTCTGTCTCTGGCTATCTGGGTGTTGGCAGAACTCCGCAAAGTCCCCAAGTAAATACCATTTGTTAAGAAAATCCAACAAGCCACTTTCTTAACACTTTTTGTTCCATTTGCTCTTTATACAGATACATTTCATATTTAAATGCTATGCACAAAGATCTATAACAACCATTCTGAGTTGCATCAAAATTTGTTCTCTTGAAAATGGCAAAATTAATACATTGACAGTGGTTACCTTAAGTTTATAACCATAACTTTTTCTATTTATTTATGTACATTTAACTTATGGTATGGTAAATAATGTGAAAACCCATACACGAATCTGGCATTTAAATGTTTTTTACTATACACTGAGGCATCAGATTGTGTGTTGTATAATAAAAATAAAAAGTCAATCCCTTGTTGCATAGTAACTGTTATTTATTATCTCTGTACAAAATATACACGTTTTAAATATAATGTAACGGCTTGAGGCTAACTAACTATACAGTCAGTACAACGGGTTAGTATGTTCAATGTTCTGAAGACACAGTACATGCGGGTATTGACAGGTTTTCTTGTGATGATGATTAAAAGTCAGAAATTGGCAAATGACAATCTTAGCCAAACCAGGTTAAATAAAGTACACAAATAAAGTTGGAAGTGCATATTTTTCCTAGGGTAATATTCCACCCTTATTGAGGATGAGGAGAAAACTGACAGATAGTTATTGCTATTCAAGGTATCTCAGAGTACAAAACGTCATTCCTGCTTTGAATGTCTTGGGATAACAAATACTTTGATATTTGAATGACAGAGTGGAATAAAATAACCTGGAAAGAACACATTTACACATTTACATAGGTCAGATACTCAAATAAAAAAAACCTTAATGTCCAATTGCTTCTTGTCCAGAGTAATATACACTGTATTTTCTCTTGTCAGTCAAAGCTAAACCTCTTAAGGTTGTTCTCTGAATGTATCCTCTTTGGTGTTACAGAAAAAAAAAAAATTGATGTCAAGGAGCAAAAATTAAATATCTCAAAAAAACACACATACAATGTATGTTAAATTTATTAGGTCTAATTTAGGGGAACTACAGTTTTGTGATGGAAACCTAATTTCACACAGCCTGCTAAGTGTATTCTCTCAAATGTATATTTAGTGAATATTTATACTGACGTTTTCTCTTGATATGGTAAATAGCTGTCATGGTCCAGTATTCTCTTATTATACTGTCTATTGTAAGGTCACATCACTGGGAATGCTAGAACACATACAACTGCAAACAGACATATGACTAGTATTGGAATAATTTGGAAGGCCAGGAATTATTCTAAAGCTGAATCTTGTGGGTTTTATCTCATTGGAGAGATACTCTGGTGGGGTAGATGCCTTCTACACATGCGCACACACATATACAGAGGGCGAGGCACCTGTGAATGACTGGGTATAGACAGACAGGCAGACTTTGGAGTATCTTTGTAAATACATATTTTGATATTAGTGACATCATCATGCGATATTCAGTTCCTCATGGAAAACAACATTGATAAGTCTTGTTTTCTCCCATGAGTGTCTTTCTGGGTCTGTCCACTAGATGGTGCAACGTCCATTTCTTCATATGGCAGCAGGGTTGTTGCTCCAGAGGCAGGAGATCCTAAAGAGCTGGAACAGGAGGGAGGTCAAATGTTATCTCAATTTGGGCATCCTCCGCTTTTTGCTTCTCCCGTCATTGGCAGGTCCCATGTGGTCACTTGATTCTTGCCTTCAGTCTTCCAGGGTAATTAAGGTTCAACATGATGAGAAGTGAACTTGTTGGTGGATGATCTCTGTGCCTTCAGTAAAAAGGAGAGTTCTGTAATGCCCTCTGGATTCACACTCACACACTGGTACAAACACAGCCTCTCTTTCTCTCTGTAGTCCTCTGGTGTCTGTTACACATCCCTCTGCCTGGTGCCACTGTACCCTGTATTCCACAAGTTTAGATGACGTTGTCAAACAGCTGCATGGACTGCATGATGTTCTCATCCTGGACAAAAATAATATGTCTCTTCAATAGATATGCAGAATGGGGAAAAATACTGGAATTGAAAAATTCAAGAGATGGTATCATATAATTTTTTACCTTTTTGCAGGACTCAATAAATTCATCTATAGTGACCACGCCATCTTGATTTCTGTCCATTTTCTGAAACGGATTGCATACTTTAATTGTGCAACATAATAATAAGAGTTTAGACAGAGAGTTGAATCTGACCTGAAAAAAGCTTTCCACATGTTCCCTCGGTGCATCTTCCTGCATAGAGGGGTATGTGTACTTGCCCATCATGTCATAGATGGACTTCATAATGTCCAACATCTCCTAAAGCACCACACACACATCATATTAGTTAAGCTCATGGAAGGATTGTGTTTAAAGATTTATTACAAAGTCGATCACCTCTTTGGTGATACAGCCGTCCTTGTTGAGGTCATAGAGATTGAATGCCCAGTTTAGCCGGTCATTAACAGTGCCTCTCAGGATGATCGACAGACCGAATACAAAGTCCTATATAAAAATATGATGCATAGGATTAAATGCAGAAATCTAATGTGTCTGTGTGCATGTTACTTAAAGTGAGCAAAACATTTTATATATCAAAAAGTAAGATAATAAAAATGCTTACCTCAAAACTAACTGAACCATTCTTGTTTGTGTCAAATGCTTCAAACAGGAAATGTGCATACATACTTGAATCTGTGAAGATGGAACAAAAGGTCCCTGTAACCACAAACTCTCCAAACACGTCTTTGAAAAGGAATCAGCTGCATGCTAAATATAGACTAGATTTAAAAATAATTTCAAATACAACTCAAGGCAAGTGGTTAACATTTCATCAACCAAAAAATCCTGGAGCAAAAAGTGCCAACTCGCTGCCCCAGTCAATACCACTCAAAACTTTGTTTTGTCCTCAGCCATGATTATAAATATAATGCAGCCATTTCTATTCAGAAAGTATTATTAATATAATGCAAGTTTACTCACCTCCCTGTGGGAAGAACTGTGAGTAAATATTCTTAAAATTTTCCTCGTTTACCACACCACTGGGACACTCCTGACACAGAGACATTAGATATTATTTCAGTACACATTTAAAAATGTATTGTCTAGAAGTTTCACATACATTTTTGAAGCCCCTGTAGAGGACCTGCAGCTCCTTCTTGGTGAACTTGGTCTGCTCCTGCAGCTTGTCCATGCTCTCTGGACGGTGACACACAGTGGACAGCTCAAAGTCATCCTCCACGCTGTCTGTGGGAGAGATTAGCATTAGCACATCTATCACACACACTATGCTGAATCTACTGACACTTTTAATAAAGGCAAGTTATAGTCGAGCAAAGTCTTTTGCAAACTACTGTCACATTGCTCAACACAGACTAATTTTCTAGATATTAAATACATTTATAAAATTAAATGAGAATAAAAGATGGATTTTTGTTAGACATTTTCTTTTGGATATCAATAAAACATGAAAGTAAAATGGCTGGAATTCATAGTATTAAACAGAATACAGAACAGAAGAATGTGTTTTAAGTAAATACAGTCCAGTGGTGAACCAACATGAAGAACATCTGGTGGTAAACCACTTGAGGCACACGTGAAGTGATGCTTAAATTTACTGTTAATGTCGCCACAATATTGCAGTACATACTGGACAGTGAACTGAGCATTTTGATAATACTGTACATTGAGACAAATGTGCTGAAACAAAGAGAACTGCACTAAAGCGAGTTTCATATGGAGCTACAAATAGGGTCATAATGGCATTTGTGATCGATGTCCACTCATGTTATTAGAGTACCACACAATGACAGTTGTTCCAGACAGTATTTCTCTGACATGTAGCGTGTTTGTTGACTGGCCAGAGCTGTCCCCTCAGCACAGATTTACAGAAAAATATTGTTAGTGTTTTTGCCCTTATCCACATGTGAGCCTGAGAAAACCTGAATAAAATTATACTGTGACAATAGACAAAAATATAACACAATATAAAAGCTTACATATCATTTTGACAGTGGCAATAAACATAACAGTAACAGTGTCAGTGTATATGAATGTAATATGAATTTTCCACAGGACATATGTAGAGTGTAGTGAGACTTGCTTTGACTTATTGAGGGGGCCACCGTGGGTTTGCAGCACGGCAGCAGCTTGAGGAATCGCTGCTTTATGGTTTTTTTGCTTTGGCTGTTGGAAGGATTACCTGTAATCACCAACCAATAGCACAAAGGTTAGACAAAGCTACCATTTCCAAGGGACCAATTAATCCACATTCACACATGGGCACTCCATGCAATTCAAAGATCCAACATGCATGTTTTCATTTCACTTCAAATTCAGTTTATGCTCGTTTGGCTTAGAGATGGGAGACCACAGTTAAAACAACACATAGTAGAAACCTAATCAATTCACCGCTTACAACAAATTATAGGTTCAGATTGTGAATGAATATAATCTAATCATTCTAATCTAATCATTCTTCAAATTAGATATTATCATATGTATTTATAATATTAAATTTGTCAGCTTCAACCATACTAGAACACAGGACAAAACATGATCTAAATCTAACAAAACTATAATTAACTGCAAAAACACCAAGTTCGAAATGCCCATATCAGTTTTCAGAACTGCCATACTGACCAGTAACCATACCACAACAAATGTACCTTCAAATAACGCACAACTCTAACTGATCAGGAGCGATAATTCCCTTTTAACTTGATACAAAAGGTAGATTAAGATCAGTACTCATATGCATGCTCCAGTCTGTGCACTTTTCTCTTTGTTTCCATGGCAACAGTTCCCTAAACCCTTTTCAGTGCGACCCCAGTGGTCTGAAGGATGAAAGCAATGATGGGGTGAAAACCAATACGACCCTATGCATACTTCCTGCTCTGACTATGGAGCACATGTGAACTGTGGCTCTATTACCCCATGCACAGTGAAGCCTGGGGGACCAGACACCTCCAGCAATCACCTCGGAGCTAAGGCAAAAATAAGAGATCCTTGATTAATATGTCCAGCTGGAGGCTTCAATCTGCTTCTCCACAGAACGTGTGAATGAAAGTGTAATATCTCAAAACACAAGGAAGCCTGAATCTTTCACGAGGTAGTAAGGAGTCAGAAAATCGAATTTTACGACTGACGATTATTAGAGGATGAAGAAACCACCATTACAGTTACTTAGAGTTATTGTCCTATGACCAAACAAGAGTAAAATCATTAGTTTTTCCACACATTTATTGTACAGTATATCCTTTTATAATTTTTAAGTATGCTGTTGATACTTACAGCTGATATCATCGGCATTTCCTTTGGATGTGAAGCTAACTGAAAGCACTACACCGTTAGAAGCTCTGTTACTCAAGTTTAGGGTGACTAGATGTACTTACCTGGGACAGTCCCATTTTTGAGCCCCATGTCCCCTGTCCAAGCAGATTTATCCAAAACCACTGATTTGTCCCAGTTTTGTACAAGAAATGTCCCAGGTGTTTCTCTTTTGACGACTTTGATACCTACCAAGAGGACTATATTGTCATTTGTTTAGAAAAATACATAAAGTTAAGCTTGAAAATAACTGTAATAAATAATTAAATAAAAAGATGATGATGACTGACCCACAAAATATGTTGAAAATTGACAATATTACACGCTCTTTTTCGCAATTTTATTTATACTTTCAATTTGGAAAGTCTGGTCAGCATACTCAAGTTAGACTTAATCTGAGCTTTATTTTAACACAAGCTGGCCAGAAAGATCTGATTTGGTTGGAACTACAACAGGTGAGATGATTTGTGCTCTTAAACAAGTCTCTCACTCTTAGAATTACAGTCACAAGCAATTCAGCATTAGCCAACAATGTTCCAGTTAGTTAGTCACTCAATGTTTTTTTTTTTTTTTAATTAATTAATTTTATTTTATTCTTTTAAGTTTTCAGATGATCTTAAAACCTTTTTGTCTGTTTGGTAATTGTGTGCATTGTGTCACCACGGTAACTGCTGAACATTCTGGCAATAGAAGTGCATTACAGAACACCGCCAGGGTGATGTCATTGCAAAGAATCAATAGATTGCATTAAAATGACTAAATTGTGCTTCTCACATTCACACAATTATTATTTTTCACTTCCTACTTTGTGACCTGTATCCTGTAATCACAAATCCCATGGAAAGCCACTACTTGTGAGCATGTATGAATTATAGGGAACATGTCCTAAAATGTTACTAATGTTTTACTGTTTTACAGATTAGCCAAAGGAGGGAACTACAGAGCGATATAACTAATAAGTGATAAGTCAACTTAAAGGTGCATTGTGTAGCTTTTCTAGTGAAGGGTCCACCATCTGCTTTTCTCCATGAAGATGTTACTGCTTTGTCTGAAATGTTTCACAGTATGGCATTAAATCCTTCTATCTTCAAGGAGATCAAACCAGGGAAAATTGTAGGTCATATCTGTAGAGATGCAACCTCACTCACAGTCAGAATGCCTAATTTTCTAGGTATTACTGAGCTATAAAACCACCAGTGATTGAATAAATGTAAGGTAGAGCTGTTTAATGTCATACTGTGGAACATTCAAAGTAAAGCAATGACATCTCTATAGAAACAAGAAGGTGACAAAATGCTACATAGTGTACCTTTAAGTTCTGTTCACTATACTTTCCAGTTTTCACATGTTTCTATTAAATATGATCATTTGAATTGAATTTCACAGTAGAATGTTTATGTTCCTGAATGAATTTGTGTTATTGCTAACCCAGAAGATTTGACAGATGTCGTCCACCTCCAAAAAACAATAGTTCTAGGAGTTCTGAGAAAGACTTCAGGGCAGTGCCTCCATAGATCACTGGGATCTGTCAGTTCTCTGATATGTTTGGGCTATTTTCTTCACTGTATTTTTGGTCTTTTGCTGATGAAATTTATTCTTTCTTTGTGATGTTTTCTTGGCTCGTGAATATGTTTGATCACAGTGGGAGTAACCGATTTTCTGTACAATCCATCTATCGTGTCATTTCTATGTAACCTTGTCATGTGTCCATTTCTGATATCAGTTAGGTTAGTATGCACAATGACTTTTTGCATTTGTCAGTGATCTCAGTTTCACATATTCAGTATTGCACCATGGAATACTGAACACGTGAAACTGGAGTACTGAAACACATCAAATAAACTCATAAATATGATCTGTATTTCTCAAAATAGCAGTATAATAATGTAATTGAACATGTGCATTCATTGATCATTGATTAGAGACATGATTTAGTCATAACTGATTAAAATAATTTAAAAATACAAAGAAGCTAAATGTTATTGGTAAAAATACTGAGTTTTTCTAATTGATTCGTAGTAGCTGAAGAACGTACATGTAACTATGGCCCCTGGCAGCTGATAGAATAATTAAGTTCAGGTCAGGTCAATGCAAAGCCACTGTGATCCTTCATATGTTCACTTTCATTGATATGACAGTAATGATTAGGCACTAGGTATAGGTATATGGGACTTGTGTCTTATGTTCACAGAATTTTCAGTTAGCCAAACAGTTAGCTTAAACAAATGGACATTTTAAGATGCAAAATACTAAATTAGCATTCAAGTATTTTGACTCTATAGTGTGAAAATAGTGTTTACCACTAGTGACACAGCAGTGCATCTGGTTTGTTTACTTTTGGTATTTAGGGATGATTGATCCAATACTGGTATTAGATATTGGCATCCAAATATTGATTCAGTTGATATCTTGACTGGACATATGAACTGATATAATTAAACTATTTACTGATTGTAGTCAGATCAGAAAGTCTCATTATGTTTAAACTTTTATTTATACAAAGTTGTTCTGTAGTTACTTGAGAAATAAACACATGTTTTGCACATGTTGCCATCAATGTAAAGTTTTTTATGTCTGAACCTGAGCTGTATGTAGCGGTACAAATTTGTCATAAAAAATGTACATGGCATTCACTTTACACAACCTTAAATGACCCCAACTTCCTCACACTTACAAAGCCCCATAGATTATGTGCAAATCCAAAACAAATTATTCCCATTATCTGCTTCCCCATTCACCCCAAACGTGAAGCCATGCATATATAACACAACTGACGTCAGTGTATTTTGCCACACTTTTTACAACTCCTTAGAGAGCAATATTACATAACTGTCTGTAGTGGTTTGCAATCACAGATCCTGAATGAATGAGCAAAACAAAACAATAAAAAACAGTAACAAATTCCTTGATAGTGGACAGAGCTTGATCCAAAAATGCTGTGCCACTTCCGAACTCCAGAAATAGACATGACAGAAATGACAGCGATGAAATTAGGCCAGGCAAAAACACATGTAAACACCTCTTGATAAATCCTTGTTGACGTCTCCCTTTCTCTTACCTTCCACGGACAGATCGATGAGCCCAAGAAAGTGCATAAGTTTTAGCGAGCTGCACACGACCAGGAGGATGCCTAAAGTCTGCAGCCCCTCCACTTCCCATTTCTCCTGGAAGAACAAATGCATTCTTAAACAGGATCCTTGTCCTCAGGTGAAAACCCTTTAACTCTCCTCCCGGGACTGCAGCCTGCCTTCTGCTTCTTCCCCCTATACTGCCATGCTCGCTCGGAAAATTGTTATTCCATCTGTATCTCCATCTTCACTGTGTGGGAGCAGAAGTGTCGCCTGGGTCTGCTCCACTCCTCTCCCCCTCTTCAACCTCCCCCACCATTGATGTCCGCCTCCTTTTGCTGTCACACGTTGTTTAAGTTACAGGTAAAAGTTCGGGCCAATCCCTAGCAAGCATCCTCCTGGCAGGTCCGCGACAGTTGTTTGGTGCTTTCTTGGGCGACTCCCATCTGCTCGGAGTCAAAGTCAGGCTAACTGTCCTCTCCTCCCTCCTGTGTCTTTGTCGGCATGTACGTTTTACCTCGTTACTCTACCACACTGGCGCATCCCCTCCCCAGATTTAATTGGGTCACTGATGGGACTGACTGAAGGCAGAGAATTGTGAGAGGGAGGTGGAGTTGTAAAGAAGTACAAAAGACAGATGAGAAATGGGCGGCAACTGGGAATAACACTGACTGTGAATGCAACACTGTGATGAATGGAGGAGGATGGAGAAAGAGAACAGATGAGGCATATTTGAGCAGAAGATAAAGTAACCAAAAGAAGTAGAGAGATAGTGATTAAATAAAGAAGAGCAATATATTGAGAC